GCCAGGATGGTGGAGTGGCGGCTGCAGAACGTGACTGAGCAGGTGAGGCGGAGGGGGATGGGCTGTGAATGAGTTTTGAGAGGGTTTGAAACTCGTATCTGGTGCCGGGGATTGAGGAGATGGCCAGGATGGTGGAGTGGCGGCTGCAGAACGTGACTGAGCAGGTGAGGCGGAGGGGGATGGGCTGTGAATGAGTTTTGAGAGGGTTTGAAACTCGTATCTGGTGCCGGGGATTGAGGAGATGGCCAGGATTGTGGAGTGGCACCTGCAGAACGTGACTGAGCAGGTGAGATGGTGGCGACGGGTGGAAACAGGATGGGAATGTGGAAGGTAGGGTAGGGTGGGAGGACGGTACGAGAGGGGAAGGTTGACTTCTCACGTGCAGTATGTGGGTTTTTTTTTTTTTTTTTTTCCTGCTTAGTACTACTGAAGTTCTCTGCAACTGTATATTGTTTATTGTTTATTGAACCTGTTTCGTTTTCTCTCCCTTGCACAGGAGTACATTCTGCAGAACGTGCCAGGGGCGCAGCAGCAGGCAGCACTAGCCCAGCAGCATCAGGCGTGGATGCAGCAGGTCCAGCAGCTGAAACTCGCCCAGGCACAAGCTCAGGCGCAAGCTCAGGGGCAGACCCAGGGACAGACCCAGGCCCAGGCACAGGGACAGGGACAGGCACAGAGACAGGGACATTCAACAATGCAAGTTCAAATGCAAGGGCAGCCACATACATCACCACATGTGGCCATGCAAGGGCAAATGCCTGTGCAGTCGCCAGTGCAGATGCTGCCAGTGCATGGGGTGCATGTGGGGCAGGTGCCATCTCCTGTGCTGCCAGGGCAGGCCCATGCACACATACATGCACAGGCACACATGCACATGCAGGCGCAAGCACAGATGCACATGCAGGCGCAAGCACAGGCTCATGCACATGCACATGCTCAGGGACATGCGCAAGCACAAGCACAGCTGCAGGTCCGGGAGCAGGCTCGGCAGATGGAGATGCATGCTCATATGGAAGCTCTGGCACGGCTGCAGCAGCAGCAGAAGCTGCAGCGGAAGCAGCACAAGAGCGGGCGAGGGAGGGGCGGAGGGAGAGGGAGGGGTAGGGGGCGGGGAGGGGGGCGAGGAGGGAGGACGGGAGGGGAGGGGGAGGGGAAGGGTAAGGAGGGGGTGGAAGAGGATGGGGAGAAGGGGGAGGAAGGGGGAGCGGAGGAGCGGGAGAGGGATGAGGAGGGAGAGGGTAAGGAAGGAGAGGGAGAGGAGTGGGGAGAGGGTGAGGGAATGCAAGGTGTAGAAGAGCATGTGAGGGTGAAAGAGGAGGCTGGGGAGGGAGAGCAACCAGCAGTAGCACGAGGTCCCCCCCCTGCAGCACCTGCAGGGTTGATGCCACCAATGGTGGCAGCAGCAGGAACAGCAGCAGGAGCAGGAGCAGCAGCAGCAGCTGTAGGTGAACCAACAGCAGGGAGAGGACCACCACCCGCAGCGCCAGCGGGACTGATGCCACCATTAACAGCACCAGCAGCACCAGCAGCACAAGCAGCACAAACAGCAGCAACAGCTGTAGCACCAGCAGCAGAGCCTGCCGCAGCAGTTGCAGCAGCTCCTGAAGCGGTAACACCTGAACCGCCACTAGTAACACCAGCTGCTGTTGTGGCTCCTGCTGCTGCTGCGGTGGCTGCTGTTGCTCCTATCACTCCAGCCTCTGCTGCTGCTCCTGTGCCTGCTGCTGTGGGAGCATCAGAGAGTGTGCGTGTGAAAACGGAGCTTGTGGAGCAAGCGAGGGAGGCGGGACGAGTGAAGCAGGAGCTACTGGAAGAGGCAGGGCACGGGGCAGGGCACGGAGCAGGGCAGCAGCGAGTGGGAGTGGTGAAGGAGGAACCAACTGAACCCGGGGCAGCCACTCCCCCTGGGGGTTCCTCTGATAGTGAATGATGCGTGCTGTGAATCCTGTGGGGTGGTGGAGGGGGCAGGGCAGGGCGTGGGGAGCAGCACGTGGGTGGGAGTTGATGTGAAGGAGAAACTGACTGAACCAGGTGCTGCCACGCCTCCGGGGGGGGGTCCTCTGATAGTGAATTATGTGTGGATGGGGAGGGGGTAAGATTGGGGGAAAGGTTTGGGGAAATGCTCTCATTTGGTTATGCTTGTGGACGTGAAACGGGATGAATCAGAAAATTTGTTTTTAATCAGCAGAAAAGATGATCAGCCAACCACTCTATAGTAGTACGGTAATTTACAACTTGAGGCAGTATGTGGTACTCAACTTGGAACATACCAGTTTTCATCATTTATTAAAGCTCTACAGTGTTTCTCATCCAGAGCAAGCGAATCGAGTGCCTCTCAAGCCTGGTGTCTCGCACAAAACCCGAATTGGAGGTTTGCGATTTCGCTCAAGGTTTTCGTACCTTCAGGTTTTTCAAGCTTCGTTGTCACCCATTCTTCCCTTCATTTGGTCCTCGTAGATTAATCTGTAGCTCATTGTTCTGTACACTTTGAGATTCTCCCTTGACGAAAGATTATGGCTAGTCGGAAGAAGCCTTTATCGGAGCAGCTAGCGGAGCTGCTAACCCCCGCGCCCACCGCGGGCCACGAGGATCCTGAAGACGCGCAGGGGTTCGGCGCAGAGGCGCGCGCGATCTTCGGCGGAGACGAGTCGGCGGAAGCGGGGGAAGGATGGGGCGCGGCGGAAGCCGGGGTCGTGCGCCTGGGGGAGGCTGGCGCAGGGCGGAAGCGCGGAGAACGCGGGACCGCGCTGAAGGAGAAGGGGCTGAGTTTGCGGGGGGATCTGGTAATGGAGGGGCGGGAATATGGCGGGAATAAGAGCAGCAGATCGGCTCTATTTGATGGGTGGGCGGATGACGTGGAGGATGACGTGGCGGATGATGATGATGACGCGGAGGATGACGACGTGGAGGATGATGTGGATGAGAGAGTGCAGAAGGGAGGTGATGCGGGGAGGGATGACGATCAGGAGGGGGAGGAATGGAATGAGGAGGAGGAGGGGGAGGACAGCCCAGTCGAGGATGAGGATAACGAGGATGGCACTAGCGAGGATGATTATAGCGAGGATGTCGAGGAGGAGGCGCTACAAGGGAGCGAGGAAGAGCTGGAGGGCGACGCGCTGCTGACGGCGGCGCGCGCCACGATGGACCTTGGGATGGACGCGCTCGATCGAGACTTCGAGGCCGCCCTAAAAGACGAGTTTCGACCAGCTGCTACAGTTGCCGGGCGGGATGTTAACGATAGTGACGAGGACGATGTTGACGAGGATGGAGAGCGGGTAGGTCAGCGGGGCAGCGGCGGTGACGGCGGCGAAGGTGGCGGCGCGCCGGTGGCGATAGCGAGAAGTGCATTTAAAGGGGCGGTTCGTGACGAGGATAAGGGCCGCGCGGTAGCCGCGCAACGCGCGCTGTGGGACCGCGCCCTGGAGCTCCGCATAGCGCTGCAGCGCCCGCTGCAGTCCGCGTGCCGCCTCCCCCACGCCCGCGCGCATGCCGCCTACGCGGTTGTAGCGCCGGACGTGGCAGCGGAGTTCCAGGCTGTAGCGGCCGGCACGCGGACGGCAATCCGGCAGCTGCTGACGTTGCAGGACGAGCTGTTCAGCCGGAACGCTGCAATTGACGGCGCGTTCAAAGCCGCGCGGGCGGCGCTGGCGGAAGGCGGAGGCGGAGACGGGGAAGGGTCGGGAAGAAAAGAACAAGGAGGGGAAGGAGGTTTAGGGTTTAACCAGGGTTCTATAGACGATGGGAGCTTCGAGGAGGTCTGGGAGAAGATCTCAAGGGCGTACGAACGGTTCCGACCCTTCTCCCAGAGCTCCATAGACAGGTGAGGCCTTTTTCTGGTGCGGAATGTTCAGGATTTGGGGTTTAATGTAAAAACCGTGTTCTGAAGCTCAGTAGGCAGGTGATAGAGAGTGGGTGGGTGCTGCAGGGGTGTAATTGTCATTGGTGGCAAGGGTTTCGTTTCAAGGGTTCAGGGGATGGAATTTCATGCTAACCCCTGAACCTTCAACTGGCAGTGCGAACTCGTGTTGGGGTTTGCAGCCGAGGCAGGCTGGCAGCAGCCGATTGACATTCATGAGACACCTTGACTGCTCAACAAGAGTGTCAAAACGAATTTTCCCTGCTTTCCCTGCTCCCATCCCTGCTTCTGGACTTTTCCCCCTCTCGCCCCCCCACCCCACCCCCACCACCACCACCCCCCCCTCTCACTCAATGCAGGTGGCATCGGAAGACCCTGCTGACGTCAGGGGCCATGGCAGCTGGTCGCAGCAGCAGCCGACTGAGAGCGCTCAACCAGAGCGTCTCCCAGCAGGTCGCCTCTGCCCTCCGCGCCCCCGATCGCCTCATCCAACGGTCCAGATTGCCCCGCGAGGCCGTCAGTGTGATCGGAGCAAAAGCGGAAGCTCTTGCTGCTGCCGGTGGTGCTGGGAAGAAGCGGAAGGGGCCGGACGGTGTAGGTGGGGGGGACGAGGGAGTGGGAACGGTTGGGGGGGAGGAGAGTGGAATGAGGGAATTAAATGGTGTTATTCAGGAAGAGCAGGGTGAACAGAAGGAGGGGGAAGAAAAGGAGCCGGCGGAGGAAGGGGAGGAGAATGAGAGGAAGGAGGAGGAGGAGCAGGAAGGCGAGTGGGACATGGACTCATACGACGACACAGAGTTTTACCAGCAGCTCCTACGTGAATTCCTCGACTCATCCCACCTGGAAGAGCTCGGCATTGCCTCCCAGCAGGTGGTGCGGCGGCTGCGGGGCAGCAAGGGCAAGGCGGTGGACAGGAGGGCGTCCAAGGGGCGCAAGGTGCGGTACGCTCCGATGCCTGCGCTTGTTAACTTCATGGCCCCAGAGCCTGTTCACCTGCCGCCTGTAGTAGAACGGCTGTTCGGGAATCTTTTCGGAAAGAAGTAGCTTTTGCAAGTGCTTCTGCAAGTGCTCCTGAGCTCGTCCCACGTGGAGGAGCTGGGCATAGCATCCCGGCGGCTGAGGGGCAGCAGGGGCATGGCGGTGGGCAGCAAGAGCAAGGCGGTGGACAGGAGGGCATCCAAGGGCCGCAAGGTGCGGTATGCACCGATGCCGGCTCTCGTGAATTTCATGGCCCCGGGACCCGTTCAGCTGCCGCCCGTTGTGGAAAGTTTGTTTGGGAACCTCTTCGGCCAGGTGCAGGGGAAGGAGGTGGTTTTGTTGTGGGAGTGCAGTAGAGCCGATGGCGGTAGTTGATATTTTTTGTGGTTTCGGTAGAGGAAAGTTGATCACCGTGTCTGGAGTGTACCTGCGTTATACATCACCATGTTATGGGATATTTTTTTAGCAACAGCTTTTAATTCTGATTGGGTTTAAATGCCCCAGCCGGCGAGTATGTGCCTTTGAAGCTAAAACTTATGCAGCTCTCTAGTTACGGCTGCTGTAGAGTTCTGGATATCAGATTTCTTCAAGGTATATGTGGTACCGTACTTTGCTATGGTGTAATTGTGAAGCAAGCGACAAGTGATAGTCAATAGCATCAATGATGCTAAGTAAGAAATTTTAGAAGCATGCTTAGCATATTTTTTTTCTGGTTTGACAATGTTTGATGCTTTTATATTTTCAACATGGATGTCCCCTGTCGAGTCGTCCACCCACTCAACAGCGTCGGAACTGTTGAGCAGGAAGCACTGAAAGATTCTCCGCCTGCCAAACCCGTGAGCAGTGTGGTCTTCGATCTTTCAGTCACTGTTCCAGACATCGCGTCGATCGTAACCGTTCTCTGATCATCGACGGCCGACGGATTGTCCCGCCGTGGTCCCCGGAGTTTCCTCACACGTGCCTAGAGAATGCAAGATTGCCGACATGTCCTACTTTCAGCCTTACGATTAAGGATCGCCTTAATTCATGTCACCGAAATCCACTTGGTGTCTGACAATTTGCTCCACCTTGAATTCCCACGAATCATAGGGGCGTAGCGTGATTTGGTTGCTCGCCAGCCTTCCCTCAACCTCAATCATGTCGCGTCGCGTCGCCAATCTCATCGCTTGATGTCGTCGTCAACGCGCCAACCACCCCCTGCTGCTTGCCTGAGCGTCATCCACTGTTGAACCAAGTCGTCCACCGAAATCCCTTGGGAATTGTTGGAAGCTTGCTGGAGAAATGGTTCCTGCCTGCAGTGCCGTTCCCTTACTGCAAGTGCCTGTGAGGTGCAACAATTCACTTGCTTTGCGGTTGAGTAGATTTCTCGGCTTCTCAAAGCGTTTCCTTTTCTTTATAGAACGGTTCATAAGAATATTACACAGAAGTCAATGTCATGGCACTCCAGTCGTTAGCCACTTCAGTTGCAGTTCAGTTTGGTTTCCTAGGTCTTTCAGTTTAGCGGCAGCCAACACAGAATTAGGGCTACAATACTTATCGCCGTTTACATTGTAGCGGTCTGGTGCAAGCTAGTATCCTCCACGCTCAGTTGGTAGTGTATATGTGTATAGCAGGGGAACGAGGTAAGCAGGTGTTAATTCGCAACAACAGCTCCTGAGTGAAAAGGTTAGATTGGTTTGGCGGTAATGCTATTCCGAGTCGATGCGTTTTAGTTAGTGACTCTGGGTGCGTGCTGACGACTAGACGGACGTATGCTTCTCCTACTGCGCGTCCGACGGTAGGATTCTTTTCTCAGGAGTACTCGTTAACTACAAGAGTTGCGAAGCAACGTTGGCCAAGCATGATGAAGCCATAGTAGCCAGAGGAAAGTGATACGTCAGATGAACAGCAGGGATTGATGGCAAGCTCGGCAGGTTCTGTCAGAATGCAGGTCAGATTAAGTTGTGAGAGCACTTGGTGTTCTCGAAAGCGAGTTCGTTTATTCATCAACAGGTCTTTTTTATTCAACGTATTTTAGGATGTTATTGAAAGTAGCGTCATTCAGGCCCTAGAATTCGAGTTTTGACATTGATGGGCAGAGTTGTTCGGTTCCAAGGTTCCAGAGAATGTGGCCTGCCTGTGTACGGCACGATATAAGAAACCGCGTAGGTTACCTATTTCACTGGCGGCTCGTTCACGGCAGCAGTTTATGGGTCGTAGTCCAAGAAGGTGCCAAATTTCAAGGCTACAGCGTCCCTTCTGGTAGAGTTTCATCCAATGGTCATGGACGGTCATGGAGGCACCGTGACGTCGACCTCGTCCCAGTGGAGCGGATCGGACGGCTCTGATCTGTCCCCGAGGGACGTTAGATGCGCGCGAGGCCCGAGACGGCGAGGATGACGGAGATTGACGGCCATTTTTATCGGGACCCGGCATGAGGAGGAGGAGGTTGAGCGGGGAGTTGAGGGGAGCTCGGGGAGAGAACGCGGGGAGGAGCACGAGGGAAGGGGGAACGAGGAGGGCGGTTTCGAAGCGCAGAACCGTGGAGGTGGAGAATTTCCTTTGGACGAGCGTGATTATAGCGGTGCTGATTCCGCGGCTCTGAATGATTCGCACAGTAGAGAGTCACAAGGGTACGTTACGATGTGTGTATTTACTGCATATTCAGCAAATTCTCTGCGGTCTTCACATCCCACCTATAGGCATGTGCCATCCAAGTAAACCCTCGAAGTTAACACTGTGTCAGGTAGAATAACAAGTGGTCCAGACCAGAGCGGTGGTAGAGAGCGTAGATGAATGATTAGGGACCAAGAAGGGCGTTCAGAAGCCCAGGTTCAGGTGTAATCGAGCGTAATTAGACGCGCATCTTAGTCTACCAATATTTTTTTCTTTGCTCTCCACGCCTGATTCGCTTTAAAACCCACATCCCCATCCCACTGCCTCGCACAGGTTCTGGCACTCGGCACATAGCCATCCACATGGCGCGTCCCCATTGGATCAGGTCGTGGTGGACACGTCAGCAGCACCCTCCGTGTCATTTAGCGACGCACTCATGAAAGAAGTCCTTCCCAGAAGCTTCCCGGATGGGAGCGACGGGGAGGGGGAGCTGTGGAGGAAAGGGGATGGCCTGAGAAAGGGTTTTAGAAGGGTGGGTCGGCGGCTTATTCGGGCTGTGAAGAAACGACCTGTGCTCATGAGACGGCTGGCAGCTGTGGTAAGCAGAATTGGACTTGGTCGTCACATCACGTCACATCATCACATCACGTCACATCACGTCACATCATCACATCACGTCACATCACGTCACATCATCACATCACGTCACATCATCACATCACGTCACATCACGTCACATCATCACATCACGTCACATCATCACATCACGTCACATCATCACATCACTGTGGCGACCGGAGCCCTTGCTCGTCCTTTCCTTTTCCCCCATCTCTTCTTTCTAGCATCCCGTTTCTCACTCCCTTTCAGCCAACGCCCCTCTAATCCCAAACCCCTCGAACCCCCCCCCTTCCCCTTACCCCACATCCATCGGGTCTAGACTAGCCCATCCTTCACCTATTCCATTCGTCCTCCCTCCCATCTCCTCCGCCTGTGGCTGACATCTTGCCTCTTCCTCCCATGGCCGCGCGTGTGCTCCTCACAGACTTCCCTTCCCTTGCATCACTCTCCAGCCGCTTCGAAAAGTCATCCCATCCTTCGCTATCCAACCGCCTCCGCTGTTTGCTCACGTGCTCCCCTCCCCCAACCCCCCCTTTCCCCGCTTCCCTCCCTCCCCGCCTTCCTCCCCCGTAGCCTTCTTCTCCACCAGATATTCATATAAATCCTCGTTGCAGCCTGCATGTTCCTCACATGGTTGCTCATGCGCTCCTCCCCGCCTTCCCTCGCTCTGCTCGCATGCTTCCCCATTCCCCCCTTTCCCCCTTTCTACCCCTTTTTTTCCGCCTTCCCCTGCACCAGATAATCATATACATCCTCACGTGGTCGCTCATGCGCTCCTATGCCACGTCAGCCCTCACCCACGTGGGCCGCAGCACACGGGCGCAACTGGTGCAGGGCGCATCTGCAGGGATGGGCGCAGCCCTTGCCACTGCACCCTCCTCCTCTGATGCCCGGCCAGCACCTACACTTGAAGGAACCTTCGTCTCCTTCTCAGGAACCTTCCCTGGAGAAGACTCATCGGGACACTTGCACACACACATGCTCCTCGCTAGAATCACCAATTACACTCTTCTCTACACTGTCACTCCTTCACAACCCACCGACCCCAGCCTATCCAACGCTGCCACGTCAGCCAGCCATGTCGCATCCGCTGCAGCACAGTACCTCGCTTCTGCAGTCTCCCCCTCCCAGCTCCTCTCCGCCTGCTTCTTCTCCCCTGACCGTGTCCCCTTGGGGAACTCCATAAACCCTAATCACCTCGGGAACTCCGTGAGCCTGGGAAGCCTCCTCGGGGGTACTGGGGGCGGCCAGACTACTCTAGAAACTTCCGCCCAGGCCACCACTGGGGGTACCGAACAGCTGTACTACGTGGACGCATGCCCTGTCAGTGTCAACGCCTCTGCCTCTAGCCTACAGGGGCCAGTGCAGCAGCAGCAGCAGCAACAGGGTGATACGCTGGTGGTGATTTCCATAGTGCCGTCGGCTCTTATCCTTGCGCCCTTGGATTCCGGCAGTGACACTGTCAGGGCGCTCTGCATCGCCCTGCCACTGGTCATCCTCGTTATAGGCTTGCTGCTCGTCTGCATGAACGGATCCACGGACCTGGCTCGAACCGGGCAGACGCTGCGGCAGGAGCTGGTGCGGCAGCTGGTGGAGAAGCACAGGGTGGAGCAGCGCAGCAACCACAAGAGCCAGTTCCTCGCCAACATGAGGTGAACCCACGATCTCTGCTTCTTCTGATGCGCCAGAGGTTCTTAGAGTGTTTTTGAGGCGCGTCACAAGCTTGTTCCACGGCTGGTTGAGAGAAGCGCAGGGTGGAGCAACGCAGCAACCACCTTTGACTTACTTCCTCCTCGTCTCCTCCCCTCCTTCCTCTTCCCAGTCACGAGCTGCGCACGCCACTGGCGGGCATCATCGGGCTGTTAGACCTGTTGGCGTGCGACGCGCTCACCCCGGAGCAGGAGGCCATGGTGCTGCAGATCAAGTGCTCTCCTCCTCTACTCCTCCCCCCCTCCCCTCCTCCCCCTCTCCCCTCCTCCCCTCCTCCCCTCTTCCCCTCCTCCATACAGTCACGAGCTGCGCACGCCACTGGCGGGCATCATCGGGCTGTTAGACCTGCTGGCGTGCGACTCACTCTCCCCCGAGCAGGAGGCCATGGTGCTGCAGATCAAGCGCTGCGCCTCAGGACTCCTCGCGCTCATCAACAACGTCCTTGATATTTCCAAGGTCAGAGGTCTGCCCTGCCCTTCCCTGCCCTGTGCCTCAGGCCCGCCCTGGGCCCTGCCCTGTTTGCTCTTGAGGCGAGTTCGAGGCGCCTCAAAAAGCGCTGTGCCTCGGGCCTGCTAGACCTCATCAACAACGTCCTTGACATCTCCAAGGTCTGAGCCCTGTTTTGTCTGGTCTGGTCTGGCCTTAGCATACCCTACCGCCCTTCAGTATAATCACAGAGATGGAGACGCTGCTCGACGCGTTTGCAGTGCACTGCATGTACTCATTCTCATGCACCCCTCACTCCCCCGTTTTTGAGTCGACTCAAAAATATACTCATTCTCATGCACCCCTCACTCCCCCGTTTTTGAGTTGACTCAAAAATATACTCATTCCCATGCACCCCTCACTCCCTTTCCACCCCCCCTGCATGTGGAAGTGGGCGCGATAGAACTCACCATGGCGCCCCTCAGCATAGCAACGGAGGTGGCGACACTGCTGGACATGTTTGCAGTGCACTGCATCTAATCATCCATTCCCATGCACCCCTCCCTCGCTCTCCCCCTCCCCCTGCAGGTGGAGGTGGGCGCGCTAGAGCTCACATTAGCGCCCTTCAGTATAATCACGGAGATGGAGACACTATTGGACATGTTTGCAGTGCACTGCATCGGCAGCGGGGTTGACCTCTCTATGGATCTACTAGACGACCTCCCGGTAATGGTGCTGGGGAGGTGCTCTGCAACCTGCTTTCCAGCAGAATCATGCCAGTCGCTCCCTCCCTGCTCGTTCCCTTCCATTTCTTTTCAGGTGGAGGTGGGGGCGTTGGAGCTCACATTAGCGCCCTTCAGTATAGTCACGGAGATGGAGACATTACTGGACATGTTTGCAGTGCACTGCATCGGCAGCGGGGTGGACCTCTCAATGGATCTAGCAGATGACCTCCCAGACATGGTGCTGGGGGATGCAATGCGGTTCCGCCAGGTTCTCAGCAACCTGCTGTCCAATAGCGTGAAGTTCACGGAGCAGGGGTATATTCACGTGCGCGCGTGGGTCGTGCACACTCCCAACACGTTTGCCATGGTGAGTGAATTGCACCCCTTATGATGCCTTTCTTATGCTTGAGTTTGTTCAATCTGCCCTGCCCCTCCTCTTCCAACCCCTTCCTCTCTCACCGAACCAATGCTTTCCTTCCCTCCCCTCCTCCCTTGCTTGGTATACCCCCTTCCAGTCGCGAACAGCCCTGTAGAGCGGTGCAGACATATACTCCCTGCAAATGAGCACTTTCCACGCCCTCCTCCCCCACAAGCTGCTGCTTTGAGACGACTCAAATTTCACCAATGCTCTCTCTCCCTCTCTCCCTCTCCTCCGCCCCACTGGTTTTCCCGCCCCCTTCCCAGTCGCGAACAGCTGTGGAGAGCGGTGCAGACATCTACTCCGTGCGGATGAGCGCTCTCAGCGCCCTCCTTTTGAGTTGAATCAAAATTCCCCTTTTCTCCCTCCGTTGCCTTTCCCTCTCCTTTCCCAGTCGCGAACAGCTGTGGAGAGCGGTGCAGACATCTACTCCGTGCGGATGAGCGCTCTCAGCGCCCTTCTCCCCCACAAGCAGCACCCACCTGCTGCCGCGCCTGCTCCCTCTGCTCTCGCTTCTGTTGCTTCTGCTGGCAGTGCTGTCGGCAGTGCTGCTGGTAGCGTTGTTGGGAATTCTGCTTCTGCTGCTGGTACTGCTAGTGCTGCTGCTGGGGCCGCTCGTTGCCACAGCAGGCACAGCTTACAGGCAACAAGGGAAAACGCATTGGTAGGGAAAGCGGAGGAGCAGGAGGAGCGCGAAGAGGATGGGGTTGAGGATGGGGAGGAGGAGGAGGTGGAGGAGGAGGAGGAGGATGAAGAGAGCGTGAGGGGCCACAGGGGAAACCCGCACGGCTGTGCTCCTATGATGGCAGCGGCAGGGTGCCTACCAGTAGGGGCAGTAACAGGAGGCTGGGAACGAGCAGAACTAGGGGGAGGAGCAGGCGGAGGTGCATTCACAGGAGCACGGGTAGGGAGGAGCGGGGGAGCGAGAGGGAGGGGCGAGGGAGTGCGAGGAGCCTTGGCCTGCACAGGTGGGTTTCCCTGTGCAGGCGGGCTGTCCTCCTCACCCTCATTCAACCGCTCTTCTAGTCTCAGGGAGCAGAGCAGCCCACTGTTAGGAACCCGGGAGGGGGGAGTGAGGACTTACAGTAACCGTAGAGCCCCAGGAGAGGTCATGAGAGTGCTGTGCGTGGGAGGGGTTGCGGATACCGCAGCTGAATCGGACACAGAGGGGAGTGAGCTTGTGGATATAGTGATTGAGGAGGGGGGGAGGTTGGGGTGGGGCGAAGGAGTGGGGAGGGAGGCTGGAGGCCAAACAGATGGGATGGCCTGTAGTGGGATGGGTCCAGGGTCAGCTGGGGAAGGTGTAGCTGAGGATGCTGCAGAGGAAGGGGAGGGTGTACCTGGTGACAATCCACCTGAGGAGCGCCCACCTGGGGAGCGCCCACCTACGGGTGAGGAGGACCCACCTGAGGAGGTTCCACCTGGGGGAGAGGAGGTTCCACCTGGGGAAGGCCCAGCAGTCGAGCCTGCCACAGACGACCGAGTGCTGATAATCTTTGAGGTGGATGACACGGGGTGTGGTATACCACCGGAGAAGCGCGAGGCGGTGTTTGAGAGCTTCTCGCAGGTGGACGAGTCGGCCTCGCGCGTGCATGCGGGGTCGGGGCTGGGGCTGAACATAGTGAAGGGGCTGGTGGAGCTCATGGGCGGCCATGTGGCAGTTGCTGATAAGGAAGGTCCTGGTGCCCTCATCCGCTTCTCCCTCATGCTGCCCCGCGTGCCCCCTCCTGCTCCTCGTTCTGCTGCTGCTGTTTCTGCTGCTGACGGTGGCGGCGGTGCTCGCATGGACGACCCAGACGTATCGGTGTCTTTCATTCCAAGGTGGGCGGGCGCACAGTCAGTATTTCAGGGCTGCTGAATCTGGCCTGGTACAGCTGCTCCTTGCACAAGTCACTGAAAGGATGATATAGGCTCGGAAGTCTCTCAGAGAAGAGAACCATGGAACCACTCCTTGATGCTGCAGGGTGTTTTCTGAAAACATTGAAGAGAATTCTCAAAAACACCCTGGAGAACCATGTAACCACTCCTTGCATTGCCCCCATCCCCTCATCCACCCATCCACCCATTGTCCCATCGTCCCATCCACCAGGTTTGGTGAAGGCCCGTCGGATAACCCATGGGGGGAGCTGGCTCCCTCCCCTCCCCAACCAGCCCCTCCTGCTCTCAACCACAGCGAGGTAAGCTCGTCCCCACCGCCGCTTTCCTGGGTCGACTTTTGAGGCGCCTCAGAAGTTCCCACCGCTGACTTTTGAGGCGCCTCAAAGATTTTCTGCTTGGATAATCCACTAAGCGACCTGGCTGGTCGATCTCCCTGCTCTCCTCTCCCACCCCTCCCCGCTCCTGCCCTGCAATGCCACAGCAATCGCACCTCCTGTTCCCCCCTCCCGCACCGCTCCCAACCCGAACCCCTTTTCCCCCTCTCTTCTCCCCTTCAATCACTTGCAGGTTCAGGTGGTGCTGGCGATGGAGGGGTGTCCAGGCAGGGCCACAGCAGTCACACCTCCTGTTTTCCCCCCCTTCCCACACCTTTCCCAACCCAACCCCCCTTCCCCCCTCTCCCCCCCGTCCTTCACGTTCAGGTTCAGATGGTGCTGGCAATGGAGGAGTGTCCAGGCAGGGCCACAGCCACCAAGTGGCTGGAGGGCAAGAGAATTGCAGTGAGGGAAGTGGGTGGGAGCATGCTGCAGACTATGCCGTTAGCACCTCCCTTTTCTCCCACCTCCCCACCTCTTCCACCAATTCCTCCCTCCTTTTCGTCGCGTGTGTGCAAGTTCAGGTGGTGCTGGCGATGGAGTGTCCTGGCAGGGCCGCAGCAATCGCACCTCCTGTTCCCCAGGCCCCCCACAACCCCCCTCACTCCCCCTTTCTTCCCCCCTTCCATCACGTTCAGGTTCAGATGGTGCTGGCAATGGAGGAGTGTCCAGGCAGGGCCACAGCCACCAAATGGCTGGAGGGCAAGAGAATTGCAGTGAGGGAAGTGGGGGCATGGGAGACCATCAAAACCGCACTGGACCACGCCATTCACACCTCCCTGCTGCGCCGCCGAACCGCTGCCCTCACTGCTGCTGCCGCCACCATCGGCCACGGGAAAGGTGCAAGGGGAGACAAAGGGATTCAGAGCGGTGCAGAGGGGTGTGGAGAGGCAGGGAATGGTTCTCAGAGAAGGGGCGGGGCGTTTGTGTCGTCTGAGGCGCGGAGGGGGTCGATCACTGCGCCAATAGTGCTTGCAGGGCGTGTGGGGCCCTCCCTGGGTCCTACTGCTGCTGCTGCTACTGCTGCCGCCGCTGCTGCTGATAGAGGCAACACTGTAGACGCTTCTTCTGCTGCTGTTAGTGTGGAGAGGCACGAGGGAGGGCGGGAGGGAGAGAGGGGAGGAAGCAGGCGGTGGCTGCCATCCCGTCTGGCCCCCTTCGACTCGGCTCAAAGGCCTTCCCAGGGGTTGCTTGCAAAGATGGAGCTCTCATCGATGCTGCCGTCTTCTCTCGCTGCTCTGGCTGGCCTTGGGCACTCGTCCCACCACACGTTCTCCTCCCACCACATTCAGCCAGGTCAAACAAGTCAATCAAGTCAACAGCAGAGAGCAGCAGCTCAAGAGGCCCCAGCAGTTCTCACCCACAGAGCGAACACCTGGGAAGGGGACATGGAGAGGGAGGGCCGGGATGGGGAGAAGGGGAAGGACCGGAAGAGTGTTGGGGAGGAGGAAGCAGAGGGGGAGAGGGAGAAAGAGGGGGAGAGAGAGGAGGCGGAGTGGGGAGAGGAGAGGGACACAGCCACAGCAGCCACAGACAAACAAGCAGATGCAGATGCAGATGCAGATGCAGACGCAGATGCAGACACAGACGCGGACAAAGATGGAATCAAGCTTGCCGACCGCAGCTACCCTATTCTGGCAATCATCGACATCATGCTGCTTCCAGGAAGCCGCGGGCTTTGCAACGCGTTGATAGACCCAGCAGAGCAGGACCCGTTAGCAGTGGGGGCGAGTGCTGCCAGTCAACTGCCCCGCTTTGACGTGCACGGGGAAGGGGGTCTCAGTAGCCCTGCTGCTCGCCCTTTCATGGTCCCGCCTGAGCTGGAGAGGCTGTGTGCTGATCTGAACGCCATCCGCACGCAGACACCGCAGGTGGGTAACGGGTTGGCTGTGTCCCTTTCTGCCTGGAGCTGAGGTGGCTTTTGAATCGAGGGAAGACCAGAATCCGCCTGTGCTGCTGCAACCCTCAACGTTGTGCCAGCTGTAATTTGCCCTCTTCTCCCTTTTTCCCAGATGGCAGACTTACTCGTTGTGGCGTGGCTAGTCCCTCCAGGGGTGGACCCTCGCCTGTGTTGCTTCCTACACCAGCACCACCACTCGCTCATCACCACACGCTCATCACCACTCGCTCATCACCACTCGCTCATCACCACTCGCTCATCACCACTCGCTCATCACCACTCGCTCATCACCACTCGCTCATCACCACGCACGCCTCGCGCCTCACACACATCCCTGGTGCCCCTTATGCCCCTTGTGCCCCTGTTTCACCTTGTACTGTAACCCAACTCCCCCTTCTCCCCAGATGGCTGAGTCCCTTGTCGTGGCGTGGCTAGTCCCTCCAGGGGTGGACCCTCGCCTGTGTCGCTTCCTACACCAGCAGCACCACTCGCTCAGCACCACCCGCCCCCTGCATGCCTCGCGCCTCACACACATCCAAGAGCCCCTGGTGCCCCGCTTGCCCCTTTTGCCCCTTACGTGCCGTTTGAACCTCAACCCCCCTCACAGATGGCAGAGTCTCTTGTCGTGGCATGGCTAGTCCCTCCTGGCGTGGACCCTCGCCTGCGCCGCTACCTACACCAGCAGCACCACTCGCTCGTCACCACACTGCCCCCTGCACGCCTCGCGCCTCACCCACATCCTCTCCTGCTTCGCCCACGCCCTCAACGGAGAGCCCATGGGCGGGGGCTCGTCTCGAAACTCGTTTGCCATGCAGGCCCCACCTGCTGCGGAGGTGCCTGCTGCATCGGCTGCTGCAGCATCTCCCGAGATGATTCACCAGCACCACCACCAGCAGGAGCAGCAGCAGCAGCAGCAGCAGCAGCAGTCACACTCCCCTGGCCATATCGCCAATCACACATCTCTGCTCACATCCATATCCCCAGTTGGCCTTCCTCAGACTGCTGCTGCTGCCGTGGCTGCAACCTCAGGCTCCAAGGGGCCTGAAGAGTTTGCTACAGACCCTGTAGCAGCGGTAGCAGGCGTGGAGGGAGCAGGAGTGGGAGATGTGGGAGTAGCAGGAGTACCAGAAGGAGCAGGGGGAGTGGGAGGAACAGGAGGAGTGGATGAAGCTGTAGGTTTGGGAAGAACAGGAGGAGCAGAGTCAGGAGCAGGAGGAGCAACAGGAGCAGGAAGCCTCGCAGAGGCATGTGGTGGTGGTGGTAGTGCTACTGCTAGTATTGCGGCTGCTGGTGTGGGTTCACGCGCTTTCTGGGGTGGGTTTGGCAGCTTCAGCGATGGCGCTATGGGTGCTGCTGCTGCAGGAAGTGCCCTTCCGGCTGATGAAGAGCATGAGTTTCAATCCTATGACCTTACTGCACCAGAAAACGCCTTCCCCACGCTTCTGCCCGTCCCTGAAATGCCTGGCCCAGAAATGCATGCCCTAGCAGTGCCTGCACCAGCAGTGCCCGCCCTAGCAGTGCCTGTGGCAGAGTCTTTGTCCCTTTCTACACCCACAGCGTCCGCTGCTGTGGATGTCCCTCCGTCGCTCAACTCTGTGTGGGAGAGCATCACACGCAGCACCAGGCTCCAATCTGTTGCTGCTGCCGCCGCTGGTGCTGCCGCTGTTGCCACTGCTGCCACTACTGCTGCTACTACTGTTGATGCTGGTGGCACAGTGGGAAAATCAGTAGCAGCGGGGGCAGAAGCAAGAGCAGCAGGTGTGGGGGGTGAGGAGATAATGGAGGAGGAAGAGGATGGGGAAGAGGAGGAGGGTGTGGAGAGGGAGGAGCGGGTGGAGGGAGGGGGAGGGAGGCGGCGCCTCTCTTTCAACGCTTGGCGTGTGCCTGCCTCGGTCAGTTTCGAGTCGACTCAGAGGCTGCCTGCGTCGGCCGTGCCCCCTGCTGGTAGTGCTGAGATACAGCCGCTGACAACTGCGCTTACAGCTCAGCACCCCTCTGCATCTTCTCCCACCGTTCACCACCTCTCTGCATCTCCGCACTTACATGTGCACTTCTTGCAGCACCGTTCCCACTCAGACCAGTATGCTCGCCCCAAAAATACCACCAGTCTTGCCAACCCCCACCAGCCCCGCTCAAGCCTATCCGACGGTCTAGAACGGCTTAGAATGATCAACGGGACGATTGCTCCCAGTATTCCACGCCAGCAGCAGCGATCAGCGCAGCCAACGTGAAAGCTTGTGCGTGCAACCTGCGAGAAACAGGGAAATCAAATCGCGGAGGACCTCCTTGAGTAAGACGACTCAGCTGGCAGTCGAAAGTCAGATACGGCTGACTGTCAGCCGTCACATTGACAACCGCTTCCGTGCCTCTAGCTAAAACGTTCATAGCAAACCAAACACGACAGCGCGCATCAGAACCTACGACGCACCCCAAATCGTTGCAGCTGGCAAACCCGTTTCCGGAATACTCTGGCGTCGGCAAGCCCAGTGCCCCAAAGAGGTTACAGCATTGGAAAGAGGTTACAGCATTGGAAAGACTCTTTGGATGGATGTACGCGCACGGATGAGGTTCGATGCTCACCTCGCGTGGATGATCTTCACGCTCATTCTCTCCCCCGGTTTCCGCATGTTGTACAGCACCGACCCGGCGATGCCGCTGGCCCACAGTCCTCCGACCGTGCGTAGCTTATTCTCCACCACCCACTTGCGCGCCTCGGCGATCGAGAACGAACTCGACGGAGCGGCCTTTGCCTCGTCTGCCATGTCGGATTTCGGCGTTCTTCGATTTCAGAGCTTTCGACGCGGTTTTGAACACGCGATGGACTGGCAACCCAACTCGTTTCCTGACTCGGTGACAAAGTCAATGCTGACTCGTGGAGCAAGCGCAACTCGTTCGGTTGTCCAGTCGAACAATGATTTCGCTTGATGGAGCGATGGAAAGAGTCTTCTCTAGGTAAGATCGACTGCGAGAGTGGTCGAGGTGGTGGAAACGGTGTGAGCGATTGCGATCGAGATGAGTGGTAACGGCGTTGCAAACCAGTAGAGGAAGCTCGTGTTTGTCGGAAGGCTCTGAAAATGGGAATTCGATGGGTGGGGAAGATTGAGAAGAAAAGCCCAGTGGATCGCTTTATATGCTTGAAGCCACTCTGGACTGTAAGGCAAAGCACCCACGAAAGAGGAAGAGACGAGGGGGCAGCGGGAGGACGGTGGTGTGGGGGGGGGGGGAGGGGGTGGAGGAAGGTTGTTGGAATGAAATGGTACGTGCGTGGATAGAGGAGAGAGAGAGAGAGAGAGGAGAGGTGGGGTGGGCAAGGAGAGGTGGGGAGGAGCTTGAGGTGTGGAGGAGCTTGAACGACCAATTGAGGCGTCTCGGGTTTTTCTCGAAATGGCGACGCGATAATGGGAAATGGACAGCAAGGAAAATTAAAACGCTTGTGGATTGGCTCAAGCGTGGTGGCAGGTCAGTCAGAAGGGAAAGTGCGTGGCTATGGATGGCTTGCTGACGTCTTCGCGTAGTTCGCTTGACTTCGCAAAATATTGCGAAAACCCAGGGCAAAGCCGATGCCCCTAGTAAGAAATTGCTCGCGAAGTTACCGAGCACTCCGCTGGCCACCCAGCCAATAAACGGGCTGCAAGGGCCAGCAGGTCAGCACCAGCGTGGATTTGGCCAATACAAATCGCGAGAGGCTACCAGCACGATGACATTTCTGGCGAAATTTCGCCTTCCCAGGCTGGCAAGAAGTGTTGCTATCATTGTACCCGTCAGGAACTGTATATAGTGTATACGCATAACATGTTTGAGAATCACTATCGCATGTACTAAGAATAATGCCGTGCTCATAAACAATAACTGACGCTTAGCCTAACGGACGGTACAAGCCCGACTCTACCTCAGTTGGAACAACAAGCAGGTTGACTATGCTAACTAGACACACTGGGGTTGTGATGTCTAATCTACCCAGAATAAGTCGCAGGTGCAACTGTTTACCAAGAGAAACCATCAAAAGAGGATGCAGGAGCAGCCGCAGCTGCACCAGCAGCAGGAGCGGGCTGATGAGCACCAGGAGCCTGCCCTGTCGGCATTAAGGATGCAAACGGATCCATAGATGACCCTCCTGCTGCTCCTGCAGTAGCAGGCGCTAATCCAAAGTTCCCACCACCCTGTGAAGCACCAGGAGCAAGCCCAGAGGCAGCACCACCGCCACCTCCAAGGAAACCAAAATCGATAGAAGCAGAAATCCCCCCACCGCCAGCGGCTGAATGCATTTGATTATGACCTCCCATGCCCCCCACTGCTCCTCCTCCTCCCCCTCCTCCCACACCTCCGCCTCCTGCTGCCCCTTCCCCCCACCCGAAACCAGCCCCAAAGAGGTCAGCAGACACACTCACGCCCCCTCCAGGCGTGGCACCTCCGAACCCACCGGCAGGTCCGGCCAGACCAGGCGAGGTGGTTTGGGCAGGGAGAGGTGCGCCGAACGGATCGGTGGGTTGAGGAGGAGTGGAGGGGGAGAAGGCGGAGGGTTGGGGGGAGAGATCTGGTCCATGTGCAAATGGGGTGGCTGGAGAGGGGGGGCATGCAGGGCGATGGGGGAACGGAAAGAGCGGGGGCAGGGTGGGGAATGGGGGGGGGGGGGGGGAGCAGTGAGAATTGAAATCGGAAAACGATAAGACAGTATGCCACTGAGCTGCATGGCATGGCTGCTGGTGGGACAGGCACCTGGAGGGTTACACCCAGTCAAAAGCAGTGCGCAGGTTCAGGCAAACAAAAAAACCAACAAACAAACAAACAAGAAAATCGGGACAGCAAAGACAAGTGTTCACCTGCAGGATTCTGCTGCTGAGGGGACTGGAAAGGGGCAGCAGCGGTGCCAGGAGGGGCAAAATAACCGCCAGGGAGAGCAGCAGCCAATGGATCCATAGAGAATGGCTGCAGGGGTGCGAGTGGGGGAGAGGGGGAGGAAAGGAAAGAGGAAAGGTTTGAAAAGAAGCTTAGGCATTTGAGCAGGCAGTGGAAGGGGGCGAAATAACCGCCAGGGAGAGCAGCAGCCATTGGATCCATGGAGAATGGCTACAGCGGAGCGGGTGGGGAGAGGGGGAACGGAAAGGAAAACGAGGCAATGAGGTGAAGCAAAGCCAAGGCGTTGTAAGCAGGCCGTGAGTCCGTGGGCGCATGGCAGAGGAAAAACAATCAGAGCACTGTGATGTGAAAAAGCCGCCCGAGTTTTGAAAGCAGGTCAAAAACCAGGCGGAGGCATCAAAAGGGGCCATTGATGACAAGCTGCAAGGAAGAATTAGGGACGATACACGAACGTGAGGTTCCCCCAGGGGCCCTCACTGATGGGAAAGAGCAACACGGATGGGGCAGGGCTGAGATGCCAGAAACCACGGCGAACTGAAACGAAAGGTAGAGATGGGAGGAGGAAAAGTTACCTGAGAACCGGTAGCAGAAGCAGCAGGAGCCGAAGTGTCCTCCTCCTCGTCATCATCATCAAAGGCAAAGGGATTGGTCGACTTGGCTGCTGCTGGCGCTGCTGCTTCGGTTGTAATCGCACCGCTACCATCGCCAGAAGCACCAGGGGCAGCAGCAGCAGCACCAAAAGCAGGGGCGTTGAGACCACCACCCACAGCACCAGGGGCACCGGGAAAAGGAGGAGGGGCGGCTGTTGTGGTGGAGAGGAATTGATCATAGGCGGACGGCATGGCTTGTCCGGTAGCGGGTCCTCCCATCTGGTAGGGCGGCAAGTCCATGGCTTGGGGAGGCAGTCCCAACGCGGACATTTGAGGCTGGGGGGGGACCGGGTCAGAACAGTGTAGAGAGAGGTAACAAATGGGGAGTGAGAGGAAAAGAAGGGTGCAGTTATGTGTGCAAGGAAAATGAGAACGGTATCAGGGTGCGGAACCCATCCCCACCCCTCTGCACCTGCCCTGCCCATAAGCCCCACCGGCGGATGCAGCACAACAGCGCACTTTCATCCTCGATATAGAAAAAGCTTGGTCTTGGTCCAATAGTCTTGGTCTAGTATCCTCTAATAGTCTTGGTCCCCCCACCCTTTCCCCAAACACCCCCACCGCATCCTCCTACACCATGCCCCACCCCAGGCCATACCTGCCTGTATGCCCCATGCGTAGATGCTGCAGCAGCCACTGTTACAGGTGATCCTACTGCAAGTGTTCTTGTATCTGTTTCTCACACCCTTCCCCCCCACGCCCATTCCCACCTTCCTCTCCTCCACTCCACCATTTGATACTCCTTGCCTTGCCCCAGCACAATCCATACCTGCCCATATGCCCCATAAGCAGAAGCTGCAGCAGCCACTGTTCCTGGCGATCCAAAAGCGAGTGTGCTTGTACCGGTGACAGCAGGGGCAGGGGCGGGAGGGGCGGCATAACCCCCAAGATAGGGCAGGTCGTTCTTTACTGTGGGCGCTGGGAGGAGGTTGGTGAAAAAGTCCTGATAAGGGGAGGGGCGGGGCGGGAAGAGGAGGGGGCAAGAGGAACAGGGAGCGGAGGGCCAAGGGGGGGCAGGAAAGAAGAGGAAGTGGGTGGGAGAGAGGGGGGTGTGGGGCTGCGTAAGGCATGTGAAGAACCACCAAGGAAGTGAAAGTTGTCTTGACATCAAGAGCGGGGAGGAGGTGGCGCGGAAGCGGGGAGGGGGGTGTGGGGTGGAGGGCGAAGGGGCAAGGTGTGGGATGGGGAGGGGGCAAGGAGGAGGGGAGTCAACGAATACAAGGATTGAATAGGGAGTAAGCGCAGAAGCAGGGAGGGGACTGGGGAGTGGGGGCGGGGGAGTGGGGGAGAGGGAGGTAGGGGGCAGAGGAGAGCGATAGGTAGGTGTAGGAGAAAGTAAGAAGGAAGTAAGATAGTGGCATGAGTGCCGAGCAGATGCGTTGGGTACCTCTGGGGATGCGCTGAGTACCTCGGGAATGGCTGCTCGTGCTGCAGACGCCTTTTGTGCTGCTGATGGTGCTGCTGATGGTGCTGCTGATGGTGCTGCTGTAGGGGCAGCTGCACTTGCTCCTGCTGCTGCTGTACCTGCTGCTCCACCTCCTGCTGCTGCTGATGGTGCTGGAGCAGCAGAGGCAGGGGCCTCTGTTATCCCCGGCTGCTGCTGCTGAAGTGCTGGCTGTGCTGTCTCGTCACCGAAAGCATTCCAAGTCTGGACGGGCAAAGGGAATCGCATGAGAGTTGACAGTTTCAATTGACTCAGTTGGCTTGAAAGAGAAAAAAAAGGGGGGGAAAGAAACCAGGTGCTGTCGAGAGAAAAGGAAGGGAAAAAAAATAAAAAATGATAGGAATAATTGAATGACCTCATACCATTTCTGCAGATGGCGCTGCTGTAGCAGCACCAGCGGAAGCAGCGGGTGTTTCCTCGACGCCACCTGCCGCTGCTGCTCCTGCTTGTGCAGAAGCGGTTTCAGGTGAAACGCCAGGTGCAGCAGCAGAAGTGGGCTGGCTTCCTGCGCCAACAGCAGCAGGAGGAACATCAGCGGCTGGAGCAGGAGCAGCAGCAGCAGGAGCGGCGTCAAACGCAGCCCACGATGCAAAGCCTCCCGCCTCTCCTGCTGCTTCTGATGCAGAATCATCTGCTGCTGCTGCTGCTGCAGGTGCTTGTGCTGGTGCTGCAGCTACCACAGCAGCATCAGCAGCATCGTTTTCTCCAAAGAAACCGCCTTGCTGCCCAGGCTGCTGTGCCGGTCCCTGTGGCAGCTGTGCCTGCTCCAACCCCCCAGCAGCAGGAGCGGACGCAGCAGCAGCAGTTGCAGCAGGCACAGCACCAGCACCGGTCTCAGCATGCAGGAAACCAGAGCCCCAGCCCATAGCAGCACCACCCTGGGCCTGCTGCTGATCCGGAACCAACCCCGCACCAGCGTTCTGCACCGCGCCAAACTCCACACCACCAGGCTGACCGCCATACCCCTGCCCGTCAAACGGCTGCCCTGCAAACGGCTGCCCTCCAGCTGCCCCAGGCTGACCGCCACCAAAAGCCTGACCTCCCATAGGCAGCGATCCCCCGTACTGCTGGCCAGGAAGCGCCTCGCCTCCAAAGGCCTGATCCCCAAACAGCTGGGCTCCACCAGGAAACTGAGCCCCGTACGGAGGCCCGGCCGCAGCAGCGCCCATACCTGCAGGGTCCAAACCTCCCATACCTGCAGCGCCCATACCTTGGCCAGGGTCGGGCACAACGGGGGCAGGCGCGAGGAGATCTGCCAGCCCAAATGGGTCTGCTGCTGCTGCTGGTGGTGGTGCAGCGGATGCGCCGGCAGTGCTTGGTGCAGGGGAGGGGTCGTCAATGGAGAAGTCTATGAGGCTGGCCGTGGTGACGGCGGCACTGGGGGGAGCGGTACTGGTGGAGGGGTTGAGCTTGCTCTCGGGCGTTGGCGGGTAAGCGTCTGCAGCCTTGCGCGATGCCGCCTGGTGGAGGGAAGAGTGGTAGGGGCAGGGGCAGGGGCAGGGAAAGGGCAGGGGCAAGGGGCAGGGGCAGGGGCAGGGACAGGAATAGGTGCAGGGGCAGTGGCAGAGAGACAGTCACGGAAACAGTCAAAACTTGAAAACGGGAACTTCAGGGAAAGTGTGAGTGCATGTGTGCAAGAGCGTGCGTGCATGCGTGTGCCTGTGAGAGAGAGAGGAAGAGAAAGTAAGAGAGAATGACCAGGAGAGGTGACGGAAAAGCCTGCTCAGGCAACTAACAGAGAAAGCAATAGAGGCTGCATCAGCATGACTTCATGACTTCTGCATCAGCTTGTGTATATTTTAGGCTCCTCAAGAATACACACAAGCCACTCACAGAAGAAGCAATGGAACCAGGGCTTCCAGGTGCTCCTCCCTGCTCCTCTCCCTGTCCCGCACGCCTCCCATTCACGCCATTCCCCACCGCGCCCTCCTCCCCTTCTGCATACACCTTCAGCTCCACATCTCGCCCCAGCACCTGACTCACAGGCACACTCACAGCCTGCACGCCCTGCCCTCCTCCTCCCCCTCTACTCCCCCCCCCTGCTCCGCTGCCCCCGCTCGGCCTAGACTGCCCGCCTGCACTGCCGCTACTACTCCCGCTCTTCCTCATGCCATCCCTCTCTCTCCCCCTCTCCCTCTCCCTGTCTCTCTCCCTGTCGCTGCCTCTGCTACCTCTATCACTGTTATTGGAACCTGAAGGGGACGAGGACCGTCCCCCTTGGCCGTCCCTCCGGTGCTCTCCCTTCAAAGAGTCCTCCCGTCTCTCCCTACTGCCCCCGCCGCTGCTGCTATGCCTACTGCCTGCCGCCCCCCCACTCCCGCTGCCGCCACCGCCGCTGCTGCCACCGCCGCCACTGTTGCTGCTGCTGCTGCTGCTGCCGCGGGATTTGAACCCCAGAAACGACGACAGCCCGCCCTTGTGCTTCCGCTTCTCCTCAGGCTGCTGCTGCTGCGGCTGCCTATCATTCCCATACCCCGCGCCTCTGCCCGGCCCTCTGCTCGCCCCACTAGCACCACCGTACCCATCGGCGGAAGCCCGCATGGCTCTGGAGTCCGAAGACAAACGGCTGTGATCGTTGTGCTGGGACGAGGAGACGGGCTGCGGGGAGGAGGCGGAGGCTGGGGGGAGGTCGGCGGAACGGGAGGGGGAAGGGGACTGCGCGCGCGCAGGTGGCGCAGCAGCAGCGTTCGGGTCTCTGCTGGCCACGTATCGCCTCTCCACGTAGACTGAACGCACGAACTCCCTCAGCCGATTGGGATCACTGAGGAAAGGAAAAGGGTAGTAGTGGGGAGAAGTGGAAGGGTTAGAATCTAGCGGGAGAAAAAAGCAGACAAGAGCAGCAAAGAGCAGCAAGGAGGAAGAGTAAGGGGATGGGAAGGGCAACAGGCGGACTCACTTAGGATCTGGCGGCTCCACCCTGCTGGCATTCGCGAGAAAGAACTCCCGCGCTTTCTGATCACACGCACATATTTGGAGGCACGCAGGCGACACACATGGGCACGCAGGCGACACACATGGGCACGCAGGCGACACACATGGGCACGCAGGCGACGTGATGCAGGCACAAAGAAGAGAGAGGAGGCGAATCAGGTTCCAATCCGTCGTTCGGTTGGGGTCGGTGGGCCACGAAAATGGACTTAAGGCTATAAATACCACTGAATATGGTTACTCGCCTCGCAGAAGCATTAGGCTGACAGATTTCTCAGATCGCCAGCGACCTCTCACCTGATTGCCGCCTTGCTGCAGAGCCGCCACCTCCTCAGGGGTGAACTTGGCCATCGACACGGACTTGAGGCGATGCGTGGGTAACGGCAGTATCTGGTTACCACATACCTGTGTAACAGCTCGCCCAGCAACCCCTAACCTGGTTGCCGCCTTGCTGTAGCGCCGCCACCTCCTCAGGAGTGAACTTGGCCATTGACACGGACTTGAGGCGGTGCGTGTACTCGCGGCTGGCAACGGGGAAAAGGGGGGGCAGGGAGGGGAGAGAAGTGCGGGTAATGTAGATTGTTTGAATGATGTAGTGCGAATTTGTAAATCGAGTCATGGAACCGGGATCATTACAATGCGCTCACACGAGGAATCGAATCACTCTGTGGAGTGAGCCACTGTGAAGAAATGACTTTTGCGTTGATTCCAAAGGAGCGGAAATGTTTAAAGCGAGGTCTGTGAAGTGAAGTTGAAAGTCGAGAGGTGAAGGTTGGCGAAGAAAGGGAAGAAAGACTCACTGAATTCCGCTGCACGCGACGCAGACAAACGTTGCGAAATTCGTGCACACATATTGAGGGCCCTGCGGTAACCGAGGCAACACATGGATATCGTACGGACATTAACGATCCAAATGAAGAGGAGACGACTGATCGAAAAGAGTGAACATGTTGCAAATAATGGATCAAACGATTTTGTGATCGCACAGCCCGCAAGGGATTAACGCTTAAACGCGGGGAAGCGTAGACTGGATACTATTATGTCCTGAACGACAACGCATTCGCCGCAGGAGCTTGAAAAGAAGTGGCTCAACGAATCGCGTCTAACTTCTAACTAACCTCAAACACGAGCCTCAAGCAAACGCTTTTTTATGAAAAGAACAGATCTACCTTGTTCCCCGCTCGTCATGACTTCTAAAAGCATAGCTGGCGATGCTAGTTAAAACCTGGTGAAATGCATTACCGGATTGTTGCAGTTTATGCACTTTTTATTTTCGGGCAGCTTCATCAACCCCCGGATAATCTTCTCGTGCTTCTCATCGTCCTTCTTGCTCATCGTGCCAGCGGGAAACCAAAAACAGTCTTAACTATCTACTCCAGATGGATAGTAATCTGCGATACTTATTCAGGGTCTGCAAGGAGGGCTTGCAGATAGGATTGGAAAAGCGCGTCCTGAGCGGGAATCTACATTAAATCGGAGCTTATGACTTGTAACGAGCAAAGGCACGTGAATGTCAAGGGGACGACATGGCGGGTCTCTAATTGCAAGTCATGCTACGAGGTGATGACAACATGACCGAATGTTGAAGGAAACTGCCTGCTTTCAGGGGAAGGATGGACTGATGAGGAGGAGCCGAGGGAGGCGTGTGGGAGAAAGGAACTTGGAAGCTTGAACTCAGAAGTTGGTGGTGTTCCCAAGTTCCCAGGAGTATGGCTCTTCTGGAGCCTGTCTGGAAGTCTGGGCGCTGCTGTTCCCAAGGTTTCCTGGCGGGCTTTTCGGTGCCAAGGCGGGAAACCAGGTGATAATATCGAATTCGAGCACGAATTGTTTGGAGATGCAGAACGATGCGATTGGGGAATAGAGAGTGCCCATAAAGGAATTCAATCAGTAACAATGTCGGATCTGCCCTTACGGAGGATGCGGGAAGTTGAAAGCACGACTGGAGATTCGAGTTTCGTAACCCGCAAATAGGGTGATGGGCTGAACAACGCGTTTCCCCCTCTCGAAACCCCGAGATCAAAACCCGGCGTGAGATTTGCATCCGAGTAGTAGAAACATTTTCCACTCAAGTTGGAAGTTGAATACATTTGCAGGAGCAACTCCGCTCAGCTCCGGGAAGGGAACTAGAATTTCGAAACGAGAACGGTTTTCACACCAAACAAGCCCCTGATCTGATTCCTGACCCGACCTCGTCGGACCTCCGAACCGAACCGAACAGGCATCTCTCCACCAACCTTGCAATCAGAGATCCTCCCTCGGGTTCTCCGCCTCGTTCCCTCCCGCATTATGCGCTGAGATCCTCTTGAGCAAACCCGTAAGTTCGGACTATTGCTGTCGCCTGGGAGCGACGGGCGGTATCGAGTGCGATGAAGAAGGGAATCCACCCCGCCTTGCAGTGGCTCAGCCTCGTCACGCCGCAGGGCCGCCTTGTGCGCGTGCTGTCCGCGCAGGTGTTCAAATCCGACCGTCCGTTCTACATCCGCGATCCGGGCAAGAAGGCAGAGACGGAGGGCCAGATCGCCAAGTTCAACAAGCGGTACAACATCCAGGCGAAGGACGCGAAAGAAGCGAAAGAAACGAAGGAGGCGAAGGAGTAGAGCTGGCGCAGCTACGCAGGTATTTCACCAGCAGTTGTACTTATCGTGTTGTCTGAGCTGGACATTTTTTTTAAATTAACTCCTCAAGTTCAAGAAGCGGTACAGCATCCAGGTGAAGTAGGCGAAGGAGTAGTGCTGGCGCTGTTCTGCAGGTGGGCTAGGTTTCCGAACGGGAGGGTCAGATTGCGAAGTTCGACATGCGGTGTAACTAGTAGGCGAAGGCAGGCGAAGCATTCCGCTTCGTTTTTGCGGATTTCAAGAAACCTCGAAATACCCCTTTGCACTAATTTGATTTCACTTCTTTCTTTACGACGACCCCTTTTCAGCCGGCAGGTGGATGGCAGCCGCCACGTCAGCATGCGGCGGAATGACGTCAGCGCGTGGCGGCCCGCCAACGAATTCACCAGCTGCTGCGAGGAGGGGGATGGCGCGGGGAGAGGGGGGACGCATGACTCGGGGGCAGATTCTTACAGTGGTGATGCGTGGTGCAATGGCGTTGGAATGGGTGGTAAGGAGGGAGATGAAGATCGCATGGGTGGTAGGGCAGGAAAGGGAGGTAGGGATGGGGAATATTCATACGAGATCGATTGGGTTTCTGATAGGACCAGAGGGCTTAGGTTATCAGACTCGCCGGGAGATTCAGGGAGTACAGAGAACTGTGTTAGAAACAGTATAGAGACAAGATGTAGTGTAGCTACTCATGCTATAGCGGGGACAAGCGAGGGGGGAGCAGTTCGCCATGCAGCATGTAGTTCGCCTGAGATTAGGGTTAGTGTAACCGGGTTACATCAATCTTACGATCGTCCACCTACAGGGATGCAAGCACCGTCTCAAGAAGGACCGCAGCGGAGTAGGATACAGGAGCATGCTCCCTTCCATCAGCCACAGGGGATCTATTCTGCCCTGCCCTCTCTACCGCCGTCAAAACATTCGTACGGAGAGACGGCCTTTGAGGCGCGTCAAGAGCGGCAGGAGTGTGCATGGCGCCACCAGGACGGGTACTCTGCCCTGCCCTCTCTACCGCCTCCGCATTCATATGGGGAGACGGCTTTTGAGGCGCCTCTTGAGCAGCAGGAGTATGCTTCAGTGGCGACAAGTTCTGAGGGGTCTGCAGCAGGCCCGCAGGGGTGTGCTTGGCAGAGGCAGCAAGAAGGGTACGCTTCCCTGCCGCTGCACTCTCAACCGGACTTCGAGCGTTCCTATGGGGAGACTGAGACGGCCTTTGAGGGGTCTCAGCAGCAGCAGGAGCATTCTTCGTGGCAGCAGCAAGGGGGGTACTCTGCCCTGTCCACGCACTCTCAACCGGACTTTGAGCGTTCCTATGGGAAGACGGAGACGGCTTTTGAGGCGCCTAGAGAGCAGCAGCAGCGTGCTTCAGGGGGGACGAGTTTTGACGCTGTGGAGAGCGCTGATGGCGGTGGCGCTCCAATGGCAGCGCGCCACGTGGCGGAGCTGTCGCCGTCCCTGCACAGGCACCCCGAGGGATGGGATGCGGCGCTGATGCGAAGCCTAGAGGCGGATCCTCTAGGGGTGCATGGTGGGGGGATGATCAGTGCAGGGGTGGATGGGGGAGGGATGAATGGCGCATGGGTGAACTGTGCAGGGTTGAATGGAGCAGGGATGCATGGTGGAGGGGTTGGCGGTGGCGGAATGAATGGTGGTTGCATGCAAGGTGCATCGCCCCCCCACACCTCTTCTGCAGAGCTCCTTTCGTGTGCGTCCACCTCCTGTCTCCTCCACCTCCGCAGCCTCTCCCCCACTCCCACTCCCACCCACCCATCCCATCCCGGCCTTTCCTTATCACATCCGCCCGTGGTTCCCGCTCTCTCCCTCACCACCACCACTGCGCCAGCGCCAGCGCCGCTAACTCCCCCTCTGCCCTGCTGCCTCGCTGCCGCATGCCCAACTCACACCCCCTCTCATTCCGCCCGCTCCTATTCCGCCCGCTCTCATTCCGCCCCTCCAGTTGCACCGCCCCACCATGCGTCGCACAATGCCTGTCAGTGCAGCAGCACGCACCATCCATGTCCGCATCCTTGCCAGTCCCACGCCCTTCAATCCCATACCTGTCATTCCCATACCCTTCAACCCCACACCTTGCAACCCCACACATGTCACGCCCATTCCTGTCAATCCCGTGCCTACCAATCCCATTCCTGTGTCGCCCATCCCTGTGTTGAGACATCTCAACAGTCTCATCAAGGCAACCATAGTGTGAGCCCATGTCACTCACTTCCCTGCCCTAAATTCCTTTGCCCTTGCCCTGAATCCTTTCGCCCTTGTCCTGGTTCCCCTCGTCCCACTTTTGAGGCACCTCAAAGGCCTGGCTCCCCTCGTCCTGTCCACAAGCTGTCTCCTGCCGCTTACCCTACTCCCTCTCACGTCTCCTCTTCTCGAGCCTCTTTTTCCTCCTCTCCTCGCCCTCCCCTCTCCTCACCCCTCCTGCCCGTCCCCTCTCCTGCTGTTTCCTCTGCACCGGGCTCGCAGCAGCCTTCCTCTCGTTACAGTCACACCAGCTCTGCCGCTGACAACCATAGACATTCCAATAATCGACATGACGATTTGCATCGCTGTTGCCAGCATTGCACTCACTGCACATGCTGTCAGCACCAGCGGCACCAGCAGCAGCAGCAGCAGCATCAGCAGCAGCAGGGACTATCCCAGCCGCCCTCCTCCTCCTCCTCCTCCTCCTCCTCCTCCTCCTCCTCCTCCTCCTCCTCCTCCTCCTCCTCCTCCTCCTCCTCCTCCTCCTCCTCCTCCTCCTCCTTCTCGTCCTCCTCATCCATCTCACTCCCCAGTGTGGCCTATCGTGCCATCAGCCCTGCGGACATGGCAGATCTCAAGGCCCTCCATGAAGCCACCTTCCCCATCGCGTAAGACCTCCCACACACTCTGCACACCTTGAACTCTCACTCACTCGCCAACTCACTCACCAACTCGTCAACTCATTTTGTCACTTGCTCGTAGCGTAAGTTGCTCGCACGTTTATGTGTCCACCCATATACACGTGGCGGGACACATAAACGTGCGAGCCAACTTACTGAGGTGACTTTTGAGTCGACTCAAAAGTCACCTCTTTTGAGTCGACTCAAAAGTCGCACGTTTATGTGTCCACCCATAAACACGTGGCGGGACACATAAACGTGCGAGCAACTTACGCTACGAGACATGGCGGATAAGGCACGTTTACGTGTAAGACATGGCGGGTCTCATCGCGTAAGACTCTTCCTGTCGCAAAATAAACAGACAGAAATCGTGTGACAGACATCACCTCGCCCTAAGCTCTCCTTCCCTCCTCCGCTCCCCCCCTTTCCTCGCCTCCTCCTTCCCTTCCCATCAGGTACGAGTCAGAGTTCTATTCCAACGTGGTGCACCATCGGGGCATCATCTCGTGGGGTGCGGTGGACCTAAACTCACCTCCCCATATGCTCTCCTTGGCGCCCCCATCTCCCCTTCCCCCCTCTTCCATCAGGTACGAGTCGGAGTTCTACTCCAACGTGGTGCACCACCGGGGCATCATCTCGTGGGGTGCGGTGGACCCTTGCCAGCCGGACCGGCTGGTGGGCTTCATCACTGCGCGCCTCGTGCCGCCTGCCGAGGCGCAGGTGCGTGCAGGGCGCATGGCGTATCAGGGTTACGGATGTGTGCATGGGTGGTGGTGGTGGTGGTGGGTGCATCACCGGGGCATCATCTCATGGAGTGCCTTTTGAGTCGACTCTAAAGTCACCTTGGTGGGTGCATCACCGGGGCATCATCTCATGGGGTGCGGTGGACCCTTGCCAGCCGGGTTCATCACTGCGCGCCTCGTGCCGCCTGCAGAGGCGCAGGTGCAGTGTGGCACGGGGGGGATGGAGAAAAAGGGGGAGAGAGAGGAGGGGGGGGTGGGGATGGTGCATGGGGTGCATGTGTCGGCCATAATCTCATGGGGCGCAGTGGGCCCCTGCAAGCCTGACCGGGGTGGGGTTCATCACTGCATGCCTGGTTCCGCCTGGAAAGGCAAAGGTGCAGTGTGGAAAGAAGGGGGGGGGAGTGCAGCATGGGGGTCTGCAGCATGGGGGAGTGCAGCATGGGGGTCTGCAGCATGGGGGTGTGCAGCATGGGGGAGTGCAGCATGGGGGTGTGCAGCATGGGGGAGTGCTGCATGGGGGTGTGCAGCATGGGGGTGTGCAGCATGGGGGAGTGCAGCCTACTCTGTTCCTGAGTCGATTCAAAAACTTGCTGTGTTGTCTGCATCCCCCCCTCTCTCTCTACTTGCCTTCACCTCCCCCACTCGCTTCTCCCGCATACACTTCTCCCTCACACTCACCTCCCTCCCTCCCGCCATCTCCCTCTCAAAGGGCGGACGTGCTTCCTCTGACTCCTCCGTCGCCCCACCACACCCCATCACTCTCACTCCTCTACATCCACACACTCGCCTCCCTCACACTCGTCTCTCCTGTACTTGTCTCTCCCCCTCCCATCATCACCCTCTCCCTACTCAGGGCGCGGACGTGCTTCCTCTGACTCCTCCATCGCCCCTCCACACTCCATCACCCTCGCTCCTCTACATTCTCACGCTCGGTGTTTCCAAGCGCTACCGCAAGGCTGGCGTGGGTAAGCATAGCCTTTCTTCAGATTCTCTCTTTTTGAGGCGCCTCAAGAATTGATCCGGTGACCTCTCCTTTGTCTCTCGTCTACATCCTCACTCCCACCATCGCAATTGTCATTCCCAGCATCGCAATTGTCAATCTGGCCGTCCTTCCATCGTGTACCTCTTCTCGTCCCCTTCCACTCGCAGCATCCCACTTGGTGCATCTCTTATCTGCTTCTCTCCACGCCTCCTCTCTCTGCCTGCTACTTCAAAAGCTTTTGTCACCCCTCCCCTCCCATCCTACCACCTGCCCCTCTTCTCTTCCCCACAGCATCACACCTGGTGCATCTCCTACTCTCCCATGCCTCCTCCCCTTCCCTCTCAGCAGCCTGTTTGTCACCCCCTCCCTTCCCTCCCACCAACTGCCCCTCTTCTTCCCGCCCCCCTTCCCCCACAGCATCACACCTGGTGCATCTCCTTCTCTCCCATGCCTCCTCCCTCCCGCACTGTGCGGCCGTCTACCTGCACGTGGTCGCATACAACGCAGCAGCCATCCGCTTCTATCGCTCGCTGCGCTTCTGCTACCTCCTGCTCTCCCACGCCTCCTCACTCTCTCACTCTCTCCCCCTTCTACTTCAAACGCTTTTGTCACGCCTCCCCTTTCCTCCTCTCCTCTCCCCTCCACCGTCTGCCCCTCCTCTCCCTGTCCCCACAGCATCCTACCTGGTGCATCTGCTGCTCTCCCACGCCGCCTCCCTCCCCCACTGTGCGGCCGTCTACCTGCATGTAGTCGCATACAACGCTGCAGCCATCCGCTTCTATCGCTCGCTGCGCTTCTGCTTCCGCCGCCGCCTCTCACGCTTCTACTATCTCGAAGGGGGCGAGTACGATGCGCTGCTCTTTGCGCGTTACGTCAACGGCTGGTCACCGCCCGACTCCAGGTGCAGCTCTCTGGGTTATGCTGGGTGGGTGGGTGGGTGGGTGGGTAAGTGGGTGGGTGGGTGGGTGGGTGGCTGGCTGGCTGGCTGGCTGGCTTTGTTGTTTATTTGTGGCTAAAATCGATCATGAGTGCCTTGTGCTAACATGTGCTTGCTTTCACTTGTTGCACGTTCACACAAACTCGAACACGCACACCCGCTCGCCCATCCAAACCTTCCCTCACATTCACATGCACACACACATACTCCCCAGATTCTCTGCACCTTTTTTTTCAGGTGCGGTGAATGTATCAAAAGTTAACCTGGTTCTCACTTCTTTCTCCTTTTGCCATCCCGCTCCACTTTCAACCCAGGTCCCAGTTGCAAGGGCCTACTCTACAGCTACTGCAGCCTGCATTCACAGCAGCTTCTGCTGCAGTGTCTGCCGCCATGTCCCTAGTGTGCGTTCGCCCACCCGCTTCCCTTCTCCGAGCTGCAATGCATTCTGCATGGATTTGCAAGTGTCTTGAGTTTTTCAGATCAACTTTCTTCTCTAGAGATGCATCTAGGCTTGCGTAAATGCATAAAGTGTTGGTCAATGCATCGTCTATAGAACAGCCGAGTCGGTTCGTGGGGAAGTAGATTCATTGTGGTCGGGGGTAGTCAACGTCAAGCGTCATGCCAGCAGGATGACGAAATGCCAATCGGGAACGCGGCCGCCAATCACGCCGTTGTGCTGGTCCCTTCTGTTCGCGTCAACGATCTCTGGAGGGGTCCGCGCGGGCGACCGTGCACTGCTGACAGGGCAAGGCTCCAGCGAGGCTGGAATTTGAACCCCGCTAAACCAACATTCAAATGTTTGAACCCTTCCCTGCAAGCGTGGGGGCAGCCCTGACAGGTGTGAGACGAGTTTGACAAACTAGACAGAATAATTGGACCAATTTGACAAACCCCAAACCACCTCCTCTCGTTCGAGCACCACACCCGAACCTGAGCTGGTTACTCAAGCACCACACCCGAACCTGAGCTGATACCCGAGCCTAAATGCTGATGCGCCAGTCGAACATGGCCAAAAAGTTCTCATCATTTCTTCGCTTTCTCATCAATTTCTCCCACAAAAGATCCATTGTTCCCGCAATCGCCACCCCTCGATTTCTCCCTCTCTTCTTGCTATAAACTCTTCATCATTTCCTCACTACCTCGAAGATTCTAGGTGTGTAGTAACAAGGGATTTCTCGCACACGCTACTGCTCAAAGACAACTGCAATGGCCGGACCTTCATTTTCCCTGCAGACTTCCAGCGCCTCCGTGGCACTGCTGCTTGTGACGCTGCTCGCTCAGCTGCCCGAAACCACCCGCGCCATGCCCGTGAGCGACTTGATATCAAAGTTGAAGCCAGAGAACGTTCATTCCGGCCTCATGGACGGTTTGTTCGCGTTGTCCGGCATGAAAGACATCTCAGGCGTGACGATACTCATGCCGCAACGAGACGCCATCAGAATCGCGGCTGCTGTCTATGCATCACATGACAACAACACGCGCAAGTACAGCCAAGCGATAAATGACGCGCTCAATCTTATGATGGAAGACGGCAACTCACAGGTTGTGCCGCAGTGGACTGAGAAAAAGAGCTTCTCCCCTGCTGCCGCGGGAGTATTGGCGAATATTTGGAAGTTCCAAATCGTGAAAGAATACATCCCTCCCTCCGTCGCGACGCAGAAGGTGAGCCTCTGAAATGTATGCCGAAATTCATCATGCCTGGACCGCAGTGGACCGCAATGCGCCACTGTGGACCGCCGTGACTGACATCTTGTATTTTCATGCATCTGGAAGTTCCCTTTGCCCTTCGTAGCGATGCAGGAAGTGAGTGTTTTTCTAAGACAGCCTTATTGCGAAAAAGACGTCCTTCTGAGGCGTCTCAGAAGTCTTTTTGAGGGAGGGAGGGAGGGAGGGAGGGAGGGAGGGAGGGAGGGAGGGAGGGAGGGAGGGAGGGAGGGAGGGAGGGAGGGAGGGAGGGAGGGAGTGAGTGAGTGAGTGAGTGAGTGAGTGAGTGAGTGAGGGAGTGATGAGATTTTGAGAAAGGTCACAGATTTCCAGTCACGCCACATCGCACGGTATTAGCGGGGGCGATTTTTTTCAGATTCATAGACATGGAACTCCATTCCATCCCTCCTCCTGTCTCTGTCTCTGCCTCCGTCCTCATCGCTCTCTCTCGTCCCCCCGCCATCCTACTGGCAGTATTCCTCCGGCGGCCCATGGGAGCTTCCCACTATGGAGGGACAGCCGCTATGGATGAATCACACTCTGCATTACTACTACATGACATCTCAATGGAATATTTCTGGCGCGTCTCTTCAGCAGCAGGCCAGCTCGCCGCTGCCAAGACCCTTTGGCCATGTGATGATTGATGGGAGCCCATTGGCATACACGTTGGTGGACGGTGAAGACATGGTGCTGGATGTTCCGGAAAGCGAGGTCGTGGTGTATACGAGCAGATCGGTGCTTCTTCCCAACAACACGGATACTCTTGTCGCAAAAGCGGGTACGTACACATGTACGCACGCACACAACACATTGACACCCAAATACACATACACCGGATGCATTTTCTTAGTCCAAACAAGCCACCCGTGTTCTTCATGCATCCTGCCACTTGATGATTCCACACGATCATCGCGGAAAAGGCTTTGGCCCAAAATCGAGTTTAAGTCTGAAACCTGCAGGAAAGTTGCTGATTTGTATCGGGAAAGTATCCGAAAAGCATTGACTGAATTTTGCAACTCACACAAATTTCGGAGGCAAGGGGTAACCGAGCCGCGAATTTTGCTTACGTGGGGTACCCGAGGCGCGATTTTGGGCTTCGTGGGATACTCGAATCGCGCATTTCTTGCGTCAACTTCGAAACATCCAGACCGAACTGTACACCTGGTGACGACCGACCCTTGGGAGTCCCCCATGGTGTGATACTGCTGGTATCCGATCGATGAACGCTTTCACGAGATTTGCGAGAACAGTAACGATGATACGTAACAGGACGAATCTCGCCAAGGTGCAACCAACACTCGAAACAAGCAACTGGCACACAGGTTCAAAGTCACACCCAATCCATGCTAAGAGTTCAGATTCACTGTACTAACGTGGCTTCCCCGGACCAGGGTTTAGCTAACAGGTAACGAAGTGGTCCATCGTAATGATTTTTAACTAACCAATCAATGGTGTGCACTTGCCTACCTCAGAAATCCACGGCAATTTTTGACGACACATCAGCACACCTCCGAGCTCCAGAAGCATCTGTCTTTCTTACCCTCACACTGCACTTGACTCTATCCCGTTCAAGCACCTGTCACCTGCCTCATTCTCACACAACTGGTTGAGGTTCTTCATTTCTCGCATACATCTCCTGCCTCTAAGTGTGCACCCGAAGACGATAGCCCATCGTATTTTTTATTGTATCTTCTTACTGCTGCTTACTCGGATCTATGTCTTTACCCTTCCGCCCCTCCGAATACTCACCTTCCCTTTTACAGTTTAAACATCAGCGTTTTCCTCACGCGGAGAACGTGGCACCAGCGACTAGTAACGGAATCGCCGATTTCCGCGCTCAAAGTGTCAAATGTTGAACATTGATATGATAGGCTATAGTGAGTTGCACTCTAGGGGGTACAGCTTCTAGGGTTGCTCATTTGTACCCCACTCGTTTCTATTCCAATCATTCCGTTGTTCGCTAACTTTGAGACAAAGCGCCGAAAGGTGTGCTACACATGCTTCCTATAGCTCGAGACCTAGCAATCATTTATCCGTGCGTGTGCCTTAGGTTGCAACTCTGATATGTGTTTCCATCCGTTCATCTATGCTCACGGGTTATTCTTCGCGAGCAATCGCCTTGCACGTAACTTCCCAATATGTGTGCAGATCTTTCGCCATCGCTTGTGACCTGTGCATTATTTCCCGCCCCTGCCAGTCCTCCCATTCCCTCTTCGCACTAATCAGTTGCGCTTCTTTTTTCCCCCAGCCTCCCAATACTGCTCGTCGGCATGTTCACTGCTTAGGACCGAAGGTCCCAGCTTAGGACCTTCGGCCCGCGAATCATAGGGGACGTGCCGTCGTCAGCGCGAGAACGCGGAGGGTGTTTACTCGCACGCAGGCCTCTCTCTGCCTCTGTTTGAGCTTCTCACCATGCGCCTTCTTATCCCATGCTGTCTGGAATCCAGCCTTTAACGATAACGTTTATGTGTCTGTTGTTCTGGTGGTCATAGTGTTTCAGGATTGATTTTCATGTGCAGGGTTAATGGAAGTCACGCGACGTGAACTTCTATTTCCAGCTGTCTCATCAATATGCAGAAGCTACCCAGCACGTTCAAGCAATGTTACAAGTGGTGGTGAAGCCCCGCAGGTGGTAAGTCACTGAGGTGGGGAACGCGCATATGACTAACCAAGCTCTAACGTTATGTGTGTACTGTTTGCAGGCGTTATAAAGAAGCATTTTTTCGTAGCATGTGCCCTCCACACAAGACGTGAAGCTATGTACAAGTGCTTGGTGTTAGCTGTGTACGTTTTTACATAGTCTTCGCGCGAGGTGTATACTTAATGAGTATGTATGCAAATGTGAAACATATTATAGATCTTCACCAAACTGTAACTCTCAGACTAAACCAGTAACAAAAAGCTGTTGTAACGAATGACCCGCTTGTACTGTTCAGGCTAATCGGCGACCAGTAGAAATCAATTTTCACACACGACAAGCTAATGTCTGATTGGCCCACATGGCAAGCTTCCGATCACATATCGAGACTGACACCTGGCACAATATCTTTGCTTACGTGGCAAAATATCTTCGCGAACGTACCGGCGTACGTACACTTCGAAGTCGAAACTGTACGCATGCCACGTGGCAGGTGGTGAAACTGCATACATGTGACTGAAATGTATACGCAACGTGTCCAAAGATTGTCCGATACGTTGCGGTTGTGTTGCGGGAAAGTTGCAGGAATGCAATTTTTTTCGCAACTTTCCCGCAACCACGATTTCTGCAACATTTGACCATCACTGGAAAGTTGCAAAACCAAGGTATCCAAAAAGTATCCTTTTTGCAACTTTCCCGCAGCTTTCTGGCAAGTCCTTTTTCGCGATGATGCCCTAACATGTCGCTCTTTCGTTCTCCCTATCTGCAGCTGGAGGCACTGCCGCTTCCCTCTCCCACCTGCTTGCCTCCATTGGCCTCGCCCTCACAGCCCTCATGCTGCTGTGACTTGGAATATTTACTGAATCTGGATGTAGGATGGGCACTTGAGGCTGATCAGGGGCCATCACCAGGGCCAGCCGTTGCTCATGCCACAAATCAAATTTGTATTCTGCTGCTTGTGCTCGTGTTTTGAGTCGACGCGTGTTTTGAGTCATGTTTGGAGTCGACTCAAACTTTGCCAAAAAGGCGCTGTCCCAAAACTGACCCCAAAGTACCCTGACCAAACTATGACCCTGAGCAGTCTCAAAACTGTCCCGAAAGTGTCTTTAGGGTTTTCTTGCTGCAGGAGACACACTGGGGTCACGGAAAAATAGGCGCTACAAATCCCCTGACCCAATTCCGTCACAAATCTATCCCACTTCTAACCTTCACGCGAGCATTTCGCAGACTAGAGTTCAAACCTCCAAGGTGGAACATCTTTAAAAATGTGCTAACCATATTGTGGGTTTCGCTGTCATACCAAGCCTTGCACCGCTTATTCATCCCTTACGCATGAAATTGGACGACAACATCTAAAAGCATCCTCAAAATGGCTCTCAAACAAAGTGTGCACACGGTGGAAATTGTTTTTCCCAGTCCTTGGTGACTCAGGGCCACGCTAACATGCCCCATGCAGTAATGGTACGGCCTTCATGTATAAGAACCAACGTAAACCACCACACGCAGTCGGTGGTTTCTAGTTTTGGGAGAACAGAGACCTGTTGACCAGATAATAATTGGGCCGTGTGAAGCTGGGCACGATGTGAGCCAGCCCAAGGATGCTTTCCACTTCGAGGACAGCGTACTCGTCTTGCCCGGTGGTGAGACGGAGTTGCTTGCAGGTGGCGCACGGAACCTGGTACAATCGGGACGCGTGAGAAACCCTAGTCTGGGTGAAACGATATCGAACTGGGAGGCCCCGGTCCTTAGTGCTATGTCAGGGGGTGGTTGGTGCGTCACCTGGATTGCACAATCCCGCTACAATGCCTCCTCGCTTAAACTGCTCAATGCTTTTCAACTACTATATTTCTACAAAAGAAATAACTTATTTGACATGTTTATTATCACAGCGACCGTACAATGGATTGTCACTGTCGCAAAACTACTACCACCATATGCCAGCACGAGACATGCAACATGACTATACATCAATTTGTCTAACGGTTTCTACTGGAGTATGCGGTGCTAAAAGCTATGAAGTCATCATGAAGCTCTCGTCGCCAGGTTTCACTAGAGCCATGGAGATGAATAGCATAGACTGATGAGAAACTTGACTCCACCAATATTTGCATGAATTTCATGACGTATATGCCACAGTCGTCTGCGTTTGTTTGTGCGGGAACCTGAGAGAAGGAGCAACCCAAAGTGTCAGATGTGGTAAGGAACAAATTTTACCCCACATTAGTACGGATAGATGAGTATAAACGACTTATACGAACCTCGATAGGAGCATATGTTATTTGACTTTCCCAAACATCTGCCTCCAGCTCAGAGACGAAGGATCTCAGTATAATCAACTGCTGCCGCAAGTACCTATTTCGAAAAGGGTAAATAGGGCATGCGTCAGTACTACATATCCACGGATGCACAGTATGTCAAAAAGGAGGCGGAGCAAATGGTCACCGTTTGATCGGTGGGTCGATGCCGATATGGGTGGAGTATGAGTCAGCGTGCAATATGCGTGTGGGGCGTGGAATAGCGTGTTCGTCGGCCGCTATGTCGTTGTCCAGAACCACGAGACTCCAGTGCTTACTGCTCACGATAACATCATGTGAAAGAGGAGGCTAAAAAACGGGACATACTGACACGGTGTCTCGCACGTTCAAAAGACCCGTGGGAGATACGTACTCCTTGTTGATGGGGATCAGCACCCAGCGGTATGCGAGCACGTTCTGTCCACATGCAGACGGCGGCCCGCGACCTTGCCGTTGTGGGCGCTACATGAGGTCAAAGAGGTAAGTGCTGCAGTAGAGCCACGGTTGGTCCGAGACATCGTGCTGAAACTGTAGAGAGCTGTAGGTAGTGAGAACGGCGGGTTAGTTCTTCACCGGACAAATCAACGTCAATGGCTTACGGAGACTGTAAACGTACAGGCCCCACCACTCGATGATCTCGCCACTGACCCACTGGCCTGGACGTAAATATACAGCATCCCGAGGCGCTATAGTTAGGTAACTACCTCCCATCGGATATGGCATGTCGTACTTTTTGAACGTACGACATGTAGAATGGTTTTGAGGACTTCCTGCCTGAGAAGTTTGATGGACCCCCGCCTGCACCATTGGGTGGCGGGGTATTGTGGTTGGACCCTCCTGCAGCAGTGGTTGGGGGGGGGGGATTAGGTGTGGGTGGGGTGTGCCTTTGATTTAATGCTATTTTCGTAAACATCTTTTTATCTTAATGTTATGTTTCTGTAACACTGGCCAAATTGCACGTTCGCCATTTTAATACCATCAGGCTCAAAACCAGCTGCATGACATTATAACAACTACAGTACTGTCCCCCCACGGACTCTGAGGTCACTTGTAGGAGACCATGAACTGTCCTTTAGGCGTCATGTTCGCATTCTGCGATAGTGTCCCAAAAGTATCTTGGAAGTGACTTTCCGGTCAGGTGGGGAGGGATAGTTTTGAGACGCAAACCCTTCATCTCTGAAGATACTTTTGGGTCGCGCGCAGTTTGGTCTCACCAAGATCCCGAGAGGGCCTGAAAGGACAGATGTGGGACAGGCCTTCTTTGTGATGAAACACGACTTATGCCACGAATCAAACATGTATTTTGCTGCTCTTGCTTTGGGTATATATTGCGTTGAAATTGTTGCGAGCAAATACCATAGATAGTTTGAATGAAGTTGGTGTCCTTCTGTAGCGACTGCTGTTTTGATTGCTTTATATTGTAGTTACCAAGCTACAAACCATAATTTAACCCTTTCAACCCTTTCAGAATCTGCATACACCCATTTTTCCCTCATACGGTGTACTTCTTCTTACTTGACATTGATTGGCACTGCTCAAAGCAGTCAGTTGTAACTTGTAGGCAATAACAGACATGCTTTTTGACACAATAATAAATTACATTTCCACTGTTACAATGCCACAATGTATCATTTTCTTCCACAAGTAGCACCTTCCCCCTTGCACTTCTGCAAGCCCTACCGCACACACACCTCTCCCCAACCCTACTCCCCACACACTTCGCCGCAACCCTACCGCCCACACACCTTCAAACCTGTTGCGTAACTGCTAGCATATGCAGTGAACGCCAGATTTAATCAAATAACATAATCATATTCGATCAAATATGATCAGCCTAACCTTGAGGTCCAGTACCAGACCTCAGAGGGCCATATTGCCCCAGACCTGATGGGCCAGGCCCGGGGTAATGTTGGGGAGGGTGGGTTGGGGATTGAGTTCCGGGGTACTGCTGCTGCTGTGGTGCACCTGAGGGAAAACCTGGGTACTGTTGCGGACCACCTGATGCACCAACTGGGTACTGTTACTGAGCACCTGGAGGGGCACCTGAATACTGTTGTTGGGCACCTGAGGGACCCATCTGGGTACGAGGGAGGAGGGCCCTGGTGTTGTGCATACTGAGAGGGGGGGCGGCATGTATGGCTGTTGCTGATACTGCTGCTTCTGCTGCAGCTGCTCACAGTGTTGTTGCTGCTGGTAACCCATGGGAGGAGAAGGTACGATCCCAGGAACCCTCCCTGTTGCTGCTGATAGGCCCCCGGGTGATAGGGAGGGCCACCCAGGGGAGGCATACTTGCCGAATTTTGGCAGGGCTGGGGAGGGGCAGAGGCAGGATAGGGGGTGTGGCCATGTGGAGGGTTGGGAAGCGGTGGGTATGGGCACGGTCCAGCTGTAGATGCAGGTGTATGGATGTAGGAATGAATGAGAAGGAACATGAGGCACATCGATGGAATGGAAGGAGGGATGAATGGGAAGGACGAAGAGGCGAAGAGAGGAAGGGAAAGAGGGTACAGAGAGGAAAGGGAGGAGAAGTGAGGAGAGTGACAGGAGAAGAGGGGCGAGAGGGATATGTGTGATTGAGTCGTGTGTGTCATGCGTGAGTGTCATGTACCTGCGAAGTGTGAGGGTGACGGGAGTGAGAGAGCGATGGGAGGCGGCAGCGTAACATTGCTGCACCCACTCTCTCATGCCTTGGCTTCTCCATCAGATTTTCTCCTTAACGTTCTCGTCAACTCTTCTGTCACTCTTTTCACCCAAGCCCCTCCACTCTCATTCCAAATGCCAATACCTCTCGAGTCGCTCCATTCACGAGGAATCTTGTTTCCCAGCAGCAACATTCGTTTTTCATGACCTCCCTTCCCCCTCCCGCGCTACACAATACCCCTTACATCATTCCCCGTTCCACCCTTTCTCTCCCCTCCTTCCTCGCCTTTTCTTGAATATAAGGGATACTTCCTTTTCCCTATCCCCTCCGACAACGTGGTTCAGCACAGAGGTGTCAACTCATGGGAAAAGTATGGGGGGGTTCAAGATTCCCTCAAACTCACCTTGCGCTAGTATGCTCTCGTTCCCTTCCCCCCACCCTTTCCCCCTGCCACTCTTTCCTATCAGGTACAAGGCATATTTCACCGACATTTGGGTGCAGAGCGTGTCAGGCTCGGAGGGGTTATGTTCCCGACTCATCTCAACTAAACGACTCCCTGATGTGTCTGCTGTGTCGACTAACATCCCCCACTCTCTCGCTCTACTTACCTTCACCTCCTCTACACGCTTCTCCCCCATGCTTGACTCCCACCCTCCCACCGTTTCCCTTTCAGGGGGTGGACGTGCTTCCTCTGACTCCTCCATTGCCATGCCAAATACTCATACTCTCTGTACTTGCCTTCACCTCCTTTCGTGCTTCTCCTCCATATTTGTCTCCCCCCCTTGCCCACCATCTTTCTCTTAGGGAGAAGACGTGATTCCTCTGACTCCTCCTTCCCCCCGCCACACCCCATCACCCTCTCTCCTCTACATCCTCATGCTTGGCATCGCAAAGCCCCTCCGCAAGGCTGGAATGTGAAAGCATAGATTTATTCTCTTTTTTTTTGGCATCGCTAGAATTGACCCAGCAACATCTCTTTTTTCTCTCCTCTACATCTGCACTCTGGGAGGGGCAGGATGTGAAGGTACTCGCTCCTCTATATGTGCACTCTCAGCGTCGCAAAGGTCAATCCGGCCTTCCTTTCATTCCCATCGCTTACATCCCGTCTTCCCGCACCAGGTTCACTTTTGAGTCGTCTCAAAGGTCGCAAAGGTCAGTCCGACCTTCCCTTCCATCGTGTACCTCCCCTCTTCCCACACCAACTCGCAGCATCTCACCTGATGCATTTCCTATTTCCTGCTCTCCCATGCTTCCTCTCTCTCCCTACTATTTAAAAAGCCCTTTTCACCACTCATCTCCCCTCCCATTGCCTGCCCCTTCTGCCCCCACAGCATCCCACCTGGTGCATCTGCTGCTCCCCCATGCCTCCTCCCTCCTGCACTGTGCCGCCGTCTACCTGCATGTGGTCGCATACAACGCTGCAGCCATCCGCTTCTATCGCTCGCTGCGCTTCTGCTTCCGCCGCCGCCTCTCGCGCTTCTACTATCTCGAAGGGGGCGAGTACGATGCGCTGCTCTTTGCACGCTACGTCAACGGCTGGTCACCGCCCGACTCCAGGTGCGGTGCAGTGCGGTTTCCGGGGGTGTGTTGCTTGGCTGGCTGCAAGGCGTGTGAGAACGTTGTGTTTGTGTGTTCTGCTTTTGTTCCCCCATGTGTGTGCACGCGGGTATGCACGGCTCTTAACCCCACGCTACCAATCCGCTTCTATCGCTCGCTGCGCTTCTGCTACCGCCGCCGCCTCTCCCGCTTCTACTATCTCGAAGGGGGCGAGTACGATGCGCTGCTCTTTGCACGCTACGTCAACGGCTGGTCACCGCCCGACTCCAGGTGCGGCTCTCTGGGTTATGCTGGGTGGGTGGCTGGCTGGCTGGTTGGCTGGCTTTGTTGTTTGTTAGTGGCTAAAATCGATCATGAGTGCCTTGTGCATGTGCTTGCTTACACTTGTTGCACGTTCACACAAACTCGAACACGCACACCCGCTCGCCCATCCAAACCTTCGCTCACATTCACATGCACACACACATACTCCCCAAATTCTCTGCACCTTTTTTTTTTCAGGTGCGGTGAATGTATCAAAAGTTAACCTGGTTCTCACTTGTTTCTCCTATTGCCTTCCCACTCCATTCTTCACCTCAGGTCACAGTTGCAAGGGCCGACTCTCCAGCTACTGCAGCCTGCATTCACAGCAGCTTCTACTGCAGTGTCTGCTGTCATGTCCCTAGTGTGCGTTCGCCCACCCGCTTCTCTTCTTCGAGCTGTAATGCATTCTGCATGGATTTGCAAGTGTCTTGAGTTTTTCATTTCAACTTTCCTCTCTAGAGATGCATCTAGGCTTGCTTAAATTGTATTGTAGAAGGTATAAACTGTTCATCAATGCTTACTGTTTCTTTTATTTGAAGTGTTTCTCGTCTGTAGAACATCCGGGTCGGTTCGTAAGGAAGCAGATTCCTTGTGGTCCGCGTTGTCAAATTGGTCATGCCAGCAGGATGACGAACGGCCAATCGGGAATGCGGCCGCCAATCTCACCTCCATCCGCCAATCATGTTTGTCCTCGAGCATGTAAACATCGTCTCATTTATTCGCTTTCTCATCAATTTCTCCCGCAAAGATCCATCCTTCCCGCAATCGCCACCGCTCTCTATTTCTCCATCTCTCTTCTTGCTATAAAACTCTTCATTTCATAACTACCTCTAAGGATTCCGGTGTGTAGTAACAAGGGATTTCTCGCACGCGCTACTGCTCAAAGACAACTACTATGGCCGGCGGACGTTTATTTTCCCTGCAGATTTCCAGCGCCTTCGTGGCACTGCTGCTTGTGGTGCTGCTCACGCAACTCCTCACAACCACCCACGCCATGCCCGTGAGCGATTTAACATCAGCTCTAAGTCCGATCAGTCCGATCTCATGGCGCGTCTGTTCGCGTTGGACGGCACCAAAGACATCTCAGGCGTGACGATACTCGTCCCGCGGTCAGACGAGATTCCCTCGGCGGGAACCTACGCCAGGCTTGACAACACGACGCGCAAGTACAATCAGGCTATCGCAGATGCGCTCACGGTCATGGATGTCGCCGACAGCTCGCCAGAAGTGTGGGGCTCCATCGCACCGAGCTTACTCTCCCCTGCTGTCACCAAAGTGTTGTCGAATCTCTGGAGATTTCAGATTGTGAAGCAGTACATTCCGCCCTCCATCGCGACGCAGAACATCGCGGAAAAGGAAAATTGCGATTTTGGGGGTCCGAAGGTTTTTCTGCGAAAAGATTGCGGTTTTCTTGCGCGAAGTGTCTAAAAAACGACGACCCCAAATCGCAACTTTCCGTACATCGTTGGCGTACCTGAACACTGGCGCCAAAAATTCAATCGAAAGTGACTTCAACGTCGGGCATAGGGTTTCGCACGGTCGAAAGCGATAACTAGCGGTTAGGAAAAGTTACATCAATTGTCGGGTGTAACAACAAGATTTGCGAAAACCGTACAATAAGACGAACCTTAACGAGGTTGCAAACCTGGATACCAAGCTTTCGGAAACCAGATACTCAGAGCCAGAACCACCCAACCCGAAACAAACTCGCTTGCTGATTCCTTTGGAAGTGTGACGTGTCATTCTGGGAAATATTTAACAACCAATCATGGTTGTCGCTGTCATTTCTCAACCTATCCACACCGTCCATTCTGTACATGTGAGCTCATCCAATCAAACCAGAAAACGTCAACCCAATATGCACAACCCAACCCAGCTTTTCCTAGATGACATATCTCCCCCAACAAACCCCACGCCTCTATCCCTCTCGTACAAATGGCAACACGCAACCACTCATTCCGCTCTCATTTTCCTTTGAAGTTCCTTAGACGAGCAACTTAGATCTGTCCAGCGAGGACTTCAATGTCCTTATTTTATTGATTCGCAGCCGACATGTTTCCAAGTGATCTCTCGTGTTGCTTTCACTTTTCCGTCCGCTTGGCGTTTTTCTAGTCTGATTTATTCCCACTATTAATCTCTTTTCCCTGTCAAACTCATATGCTATAGTCTGTGTAGGCTGTAGTGGGGTAGACAATATGGGGTACAACACTTTTAGGTTTTCCTACTTGTACCCACCTGCTTGCTAGTTCATTCATTTCCTCACTTCTTCACATTCCCCTCCCCATCCCTTTCCCACCCACCCCCTCTCATTCCACATTGCAGCTCATCGAGCTGTTTTCTGGTTGCGGTAGACATTCGCGCAGATAGCGTCGCTTATTCGGGATTTCCCCCCTTCCTTTTAACCTACCATTCCCCTTTCCAGGTCGACGACTATAAGCGTTTTCGCGGTGGACATGCGCACACGTACTGACGATTGCGCGCCATTCAGCAGCTACTTTTACAAGTCGTAAGGTTCTAATATCACTGGTAACATATTTGTGTTGTTTCCTATGATTGCATCTACTTCCTTTACTCCGTTGCGGCAACTGTGCGGCATCTCACTACTCGAGTGCGAGGCAACCGGTTTGCATTATTGTGCATCTGCTGTCAGTTTTGTGGCACGCTACTGTTAACCCCACGTCCCACACTGTGTTGTGGCAGCCTTTGTGTACTTGACGGCGCGGAACAGTGACTCCGTTTGGGTGCATATCGCGACGTGGAACCATCACCCATGTTATTACAACCACTTTTTTTTCCGTTGCTTCACTGATGTTCAAAACCTATGTCATACCTCCTTGCAGGCTTTCTCAACAGCCATCTGTTGCAACCAAGGCTGCACCAGGTTGACGGTTTTCATCAAACCAGGTTGACGGTTTTCATTTCGGCGGATGTCCGCCTTCTCGCGGTAAGCATGCCCGCATTTAGCGATGGAGTATTGAGTTTCCGGCTATATGTTTTGTGTTTGCAACTCCTCGTCATGTTCATTTCCTGTTTGTAGTGTTCTCGGTAGGCTAAATATTTGTCTGTTGGTGTCTCGCACAATCTGCTATCCCTAACCCCTCAGGAGTCGTAACTGCAAGTTGTGTTTCCTTGTTTTGCAGGGCGTATCTGTTGTTGCAGGCTTATCGTCAACCAGAAATGCGTGCTGTGTTCTTTTTTGCCAATACTGCGTACTTCTAACCCCAATGGAAGTAATCGGTGAGTGGAAATGCATACTTGATTTGCATGTTTCACAAGCTTTAACTTGCTACTTTTCCAAGCAGGCAATATCAAGATGGCAGCACCAAATGTTACATCCTGGTTTTTTGCTGTGCTGAAGGAATAGTAAATGTAGTTGTATGGGGCATATTGATATTTTGTATGCAGACCCTTTTATATTAGCGGGAGAAGTTATAAACGTTAAATTATGAAACCCAACAAAAACAGAGCTTGAATTGAATCCGTGGCTAATAATAATGATATAATTGCCAGCCAATAGGAGGTCGTTACCGCACACAAAAAATGCTCTCTGATTGGTCCATAAGACGCGCTCGTGTCCGTTGATTTTAATCTGATCCGACGGCTGTCCTTGGAGTACGATGACAGCCACGTCAGCATTTTTCAGTTTCATCTAAAGTACGTCGTATGCCACGTGACGCTGTCGTGACACTTTCGCGTAGGTCGCTCAAGAGTGACGTTTTCCGCCCCCCTAGTTGCTTTACCGTATACCTCACACTTGCACAGAAGTGTACAGTTTGTGTTGGGAATGTGATGGGGAAGTCACTTCGCAAGTTACTGACGCTACCACTGTTTTCGAGTCAGACTTTTTTTTTGCGCGGCGAATGCAACTGCAAAGTTACGAAAGAGCCATTTTAAAGTTTTTTTTGGCACTTGCCTTTTCCGCGATGAAGGTGAGCCTCTGAAAGTGAAGTCGGGACTCCGTTGGATCCTATTTAAATGAGAGTTGAAAAACGGTACGTGTTGGTTTTTCGTGACACACTCACTAGTCCATCCGTGAGTCACTCATGGCAGCAGAGACAGTAGGGCCGTTTCTTTTCCATAATCACTCAATAGAGGGGAGTGATTACTTTCCATCCTCCTGTCTCCGTCCTCACCTCTCAATCATCCCCCCTCTATCCGACAAGCAGTACTCATCTGGCGGGCCATGGGAGCTTCCTACACTGGAGGGTCAGCCGCTCTGGATGACATACTCTCCTCGGTACGGTGGCACGTGGAACATCTCTGGCTTGTCTTTCCAGCAGCTGGCCAGATCCACACTGCCTGTAGTCCAGGGCTCTGTGCAAACCGATGGGACCCCGTTTGCATACACGGAGGAGGATGCTGGAGACGTCTTACTGGATCTTCCGGAGAGCGAGGTCGTGGTGTATACGAGCCACGCTGTGCTTTTCCCTTATAACATAGAGGCTCTTAGCGCGTATGCAGGTATGTAGACATGCAGAAACGCACGCACACCACACACCCACACCCACACCCATCCACACACGCACACGCACAGGCACTCATGGTGAATTTGAGTGATCCAAACAAGTCAAACTTGTTTCTCGTGCGTCACGCCACTTTATGATTCCATATGATGCCCTAAGATCCCGCTCGTTTCTTCTCCCATTCCCCTGCAGGAGCCACTGCTTCCATCTTCCACCTGCTTGCCTCCATTGGCCTGGCCCTTGCTGCACTCCTGCTGCTGTGACTGCACTCCTGCTGCTGTAACCGCACAGCTGCTGCTATGACTGCACTTCTGCTGCTGTAACCGCACTCCTGCTGCTGTGACTGCAACATGTTGTCATGGCAAGGCATGCTCATCAAATAAAGGATATGTGACGGACCAGGGGGGGAAATAGAAGGGGGGGGCGGGAAGGTGGGGAACATTAAGGGTCGTCCAGGGCCTACGGTAGTCCTTGCACATGGCTCGTGTCAAACATGTGTGTGATTGTTTTGCACTGGGTTTCTTAGGAGATGTGAGTGTCAATGTCCTAGGTGGTGAATGAAATATACAGAATAGCCAATAACCAGTGTGTGCCTCGCCTCAAACTTCTCTTATTTCACATATTCCATCCATTTCCCCCTCAATCACCATGCTTCTAAACTCTTGAGCAGGTGTGCATCTCAATTCTATACCCGACCCACATACAGTCAAATGATTTTGATTCGATAACCACCACAGTACATACCGGTGGTTCTGCATTTGACTCACTGGAAGCAGGGCAATGTAAAACCGTTTCCAGCGCATGCTTTCCAAAGCAGAAAAATTCGCACAACCTGTATGATATTGGCAATTGTCAATTCTCCAGCTGACCACCGTCAAGCTTGCCATATCAATCCCCCC